TGTACCGGATCTCACTGGCTGAGAAGTGCATCTGATTTTAGATGAGGTGCAGAGTGTGCTCCCTGTGCCCCGTGTGTGCCGGCATCCGCAGGGAAGCAGCTCCTGGCGTTTCCTTCCCGGGGCACGTTCCCGTGGGAGTGTGCCAAGGAAAGCACCTTAAATAGCAGCTGGGAGCTGGGAGGTGGAAGGCTGGCTCTGCTCGGAGTGCTGGGAGGAATGGCACCTTGGTGGGATCTGCTGGAACTGTGGTTCTGTATCACACCCAGCTCCCTGGGCTTGCTGCCATCCCTGGGGTGATCCCGGGCTGCCAGTCCTCTGGGACTGTACCACATCCCCTCTGTGCCTCGGTTTCCCCATTTACAGCAGCTCATTGACCATGTATCCTGTGTGAAGAGCTTCATCCTTTGGTGCAGGCAAAGAGCATCTTCCTCACGTGCGTTTAAGAGGAGAGGTCTTGGGCATGATAATTTGGGGGTGTGCAACTGCAAAGCCTCCAGCTCCATCCCTTCTCCTGGCAGGCAATGAAAACTTTGGATTTGATGGCAGGAGAGCTCTGTTCATCCCCTGCCACATCTTGCTAGGTCAGATGATGGTTTCACTCTGCAGGGTGTTTGCACTTGACTGCCAGGGCAGCATGTCATGTGTCCTGTGCGTACCTGAATCCTCCCCATTTCCTGCTGGGAATTACTTGGGGTGGAGGACTGGAGCTGCTGGATAAGGCCAGGGATAAAAAAAAATTATAATTATTTTGACTCTGAAATATGACCAGCATTATTTCCCCTGGCTGGTGCCTATGCCATGGGGTGCTGTGGCTTGTGCTCCCAAGATGCTGCACCCCAGAGATGCTGATCCATGGAGCTGATCCAGTCCTGGCTAAGCCAGGGTAGGAGCAAAATGGGCTTTTTCCCATCAGGACTGGGTGTCCTGGGTGGCTGCACTGTATTTTACTTGCTAAAGTTTTGGTATGAGCCCATTTTTCACAAAGCCTGTCCCCCTTTTGGGACATTATGGGTGTTTTGTTCCCATCAGATGATACCCTAGAGGGTCTTGGGTGGGGGAGAGCACAATCCTGCTGTTCCGGATGGTGCCGGGCTGTGCTCCCAATCCTGCCATCCCGGATGGTGCCGGGCTCTGATCCCAATCCCGGATGGTGCCGGGCTCTGATCCCAATCCCGGATGGTGCTGGGCTGCACTTAGGCAGAGGAGCCTTTTCAAGGCTGCTCAGTAGAAGGCAGGAGAAGACACGGATTGTGTCCCATGGTGCAGGAGGTTAAACAGGAAGGGTTTAAGTGTGTAATTAACTTGGAAGCGAGAGCAGTGCAGACTCTGTGGATGAAAGAGCGCGGGGTGGGCTGTAGGCAGGCGGCCACGTTCCTCGGTGGCCACGGAGAATTAATTAGATGCTGTCCTTTGTACTTGGCTGTTTGGTCTTTCTTTTCCTCCCTTTTCTTTGTGAATCACTAGTCCCTCCCCTCCCCAGATTTCCTCCTCTTCATCCCTGTAGAGGGGGATGCTGGGTGGCAGTGGTTCCCAAGGGATGCTGAGTGGCAGTGGTGTCCTTCTCCCTGCTGAATCCATTAAGCCATCTCCTTTTCTTTCTTTTTAAGAATTTTTAGTCTATCTGGTGTTTAACCCTCATGTTGGTTCCCATGCCTCTGCTCTCTCAGTGAGCCCTGGTGCTGTAGTGGTACCTAAGGGGATGCTGAGCCTATTACCAGACTTCTTGACAAACCCCTCCAGACACCTTTTTTTGCTTTCTTTCAAGCGATTTTGCTTCATCTGGTGTTTAACCTCTACACTGTGCCTGTCCCTCTCCTCCCTTCCACCTGGGCATGTGGTGGATCCATGGAGGTGGCAGCAGTACCTGGAGGAGGCTGAGCAGCACTGGTCCCCATCTCCATAGCAAATCTCTCAAACCACCTCTTATCTCTTTTTTAAAAATAATTCTGGTCCATCTGGTGTTAAGCCCCCGTGTTGGTGCTCATCCATTTCTGCCCTCTGCCCAGGAAGGTGTGATGCTCTGGGGTGTTTAGTGGGACCTGTCTCATCCTTGGCACAGGCAGCCTCGTGTGCATGGGTCAGGCTGTGTGTTGGGGGTGATTTAGGCAGCTCTGGGGTGTTCAGGCTGTGTCTGGGACACGTCCCACCCTCGGTGGCAGACCCAGCTCCCTGCAGTATTTTTAGCTGCTGTTGCATTGGGATCGCACCTCCCGCGCTCACTGCCTTCACCTCGGCGCCCGGAGCTGCTGTCACCCTGGCCTGGGGCCAGCTCAGGGGGCTCCTTGCTTCCTTTTTAGGATGTATCCATACCTGGAGCAGTCTCACCCGGCTCCCACAGTCTTTGTCCTGCTGCCCTTGGGATGGAATAACCCTCCCGCTGCTGCTGGTGGATATTTTGGGTTGCAGCTTCCCTGCCCTCCTTGCAAACGTTGTGATGGAACATTAATTTTTTGCAGGTTGCTCTGAGTTTCCCCTCTCTGACTTTCCACAGTTGCTGGAGCACCTCTAGTCACCCCTTGTGGAGTTGGGCTGTTGGCATTTAATTGCTCAGGTGTTAATTTTTATGCCCTTAATCTTGTGATGAGGAGGGAGAGTCTGCTGGAGGTCGAGCTTCTCCCAGCCCTGTCCTTGGCTGGGGAGAGATGTTGCCAGAAGCATCCCCTAACTCATGGAAACCAAGGTTCTGTGAAGCCCCTTTGGCTTTTTTCCCTGTGTGTACAAATCATGGACAAATTAGTCAGGGAAATGGAGTGGCCAGTGGAACTGCCTTTGTTTTGTGCTGTGGATGGGAGGGAAGGCTCGTGCCGGGAAAAGCCTTGGCAGTAAACCTGTCTGAGGAGGGAGATGGATCAGCTTGGCCAGCACATATCTGCTCTGTAATTGCATTTTAAACTTCTGCAGCCTGGGCATCATCTCGTGGGTGGCTGAGGATGCAGGTGTGGGGTGATGGAACTGTGGGTTGGTGGCAGTGGCTGTGCTGGAGATGGCAGCAGGATTTGGCTGGGGGGCTGCAGTCCACGAGGAGGAGTAGGGTACATATCTCATTATGTTTTCAGAGGCTGGGAATAGTTTATTGGGGGTGAAGGAATCACTTTTCCTTGGGAAATGGGGCTCTGCCAGACTGAAACGTTGTTTGACTCTGCTCTGGTTTATCAGGCCAAAAAAAATCCCCCAAGAACAAATTTCTGCCTCCCAGAATATCCTGCTCAGTAGATCTTGGAAAGAAACACTTGGGCCTTTTTTTCTTTTAAATCACTTGGCACTTAGTCTCTGACAGTGTTTTATTTTGAAATTTATTTTATTTCCCTTCCTTCCTGGAAAATTTTGACAGATTTGTGCTTTTCCTCCTGTTAGAAAGTGCAGCCAAGTTCCAGACTCTAGAATCCAACACGTCTCGTGGCGAGAGCTGAGGAGCAGGGGCTGCGGTGCGGGGGCACATCCGCACGTGGGCTGGGCAGACGCTCCATTTCGGGAAGGGCTTTAAGAAAGCTGTGATGTCTCAGTGCCTCCAGACATATGAATAGGAGAGAATTTGCTTACAGGTTTTTAAAAAGAAGTTTCTTAAGGCTCTGAGAGGAAAAAACAGTTGGTGACGGAGCTGGAATGTGCCCTCGTGCTTTAAAAAATGAGTGCAAAGGGGCGAAAAAAGCCACAAATGCCTCTTGTATATAAAAGAGCTGGGAATTGAAATTTCCTGAGCATCTTATGGGCTTTTTTCCCAGTGTTTGGACTCGTGTTTGACTAAATGTTGCATCCAAGCATCCCTGAGCACAGGGAGGCACAACCCGTGCCAGCAGCAAGGCCATTAACTGCCAAATCCCCAGGTGGCGGGAGGGGGGGATTACTGATGTAATTTGGGATAAAATAGGAAGAAAACAGCAGAAATAATCCCTTGGCCCAGGTCTGTTTTCCTGCTGGTGCATTGGGGGATGTTTGCTGTTGTTCATTCCGCTTGCTCAGGGCTCCCGGGGCCCCTGGTGAGCCCGGCCCCGTTAATTAGCGCTGTGCCCCGGTCCCTTAATCGTGGCTTTAATGGGACAATGGGGCAGTGTGAGCCACAGCCCCCGGTGGCCCCACGGCAAAGCCGACCTGAGCTCCAGGGTTGGCTGGATGGGGGATGATGGGAGGGCTGGATGGGGGAGCTGGAATGTGGGATCGCGGGAGGGGCTGGATGTGGGACAGGGGGCTCTCTCTGTGTCACCTCCCGTGGGAACAAGTGGCCTTGTGGCATTTGCTGCTCTTCTCCGTGCTCAGCTGAGCGTGCTGTGCACCAAGGAGGTGCTGTGTAAACACTCTCAGACCCCCAAGACATAAATCTGTAATAAAATATGGCTGCAAAAAGGGCTCAGCAGTGCCAAGGGGGGCTCAGGGCTGCATTTGGGGTTGGGGGTCCTGGCTCAGAACTGCCACACTCACATCAGGCCACAGAGAGACCCCCCGGGGGCCCAAGCCACAGGTGGAGAGTTGGGGTCAAAGCACAAATTTTGTGTGGCCACCACAGCCAAATGATATTTCTTGGGGGAAACCTCTTGTGCTACCAAGCCCTGAGAAGCCAAGCTGGGAGCTGCATCCTGCTCCTGCTGCGAGAGCCTCCCTGGGACCTGCCGGCCTGTGTCACTGGTGAGGCTGCACAGGAGCTGGGGGGGCCTGGTGGCACCCAGGGGCAGAGCCCTGCTCGCAGTGCCCTTGGGGAGTGCCTGCAGTCCCCTCCTGGTGGGGCATTCCAGGGGCATCACCCCCTCCTGGTGGGGCATCACCCTGTCCTGGTGGGGCATTCTAGGGACATCACCGTGTCCTGGTGGGGCATCACCCCGTCCTGGTGGGGCATTCCAGGGGCATCACCCTGTCCTGGTGGGGCATCACCCTTTCCTGGTGGGGCGTTCCAGGGGCACAGCCCTGTCCTGGTGGGGCATTCCAGGGGCATCACCCCCTCCTGCTGGGATTCTGGGGAGAGAGCAGCCGCTCTGGGAGCTCAGGGGCTGACGGGTCTGTCCCCACAGCTGGCTGCACCTTCGAGGAGGACAGTGAGCCCAACCAGTGTGAGTACAGCCAGGGCGAGGACGATGACTTCGACTGGGAGCTCCTGCGCAGTTACCTGATGCCTCACCTGGTGCCTGAGCTGCCTCACGGTGAGTGCCAGGGTCCCCCTGGGCCCTCTGTCCCTACCCTCCCTTTGTGTCCTGTCCCCCAGGGCTGGACTGTGTGATTCCTCCTGGTTTAATTCCTCCTGGTTTGCAGTGTTTCAGACTTGGCTTTGGCCTGCTTATGTGGGGAAAAAACCTGTTTCTGGCATTTTCAAGTGTGGGGAAGGGCTTGTTAGTTGGAGGCATCTCCAAAGTCTTGGGAATGGTAAGGAAGAAAATTAAAATGGACTTAAAAAAAAATCTCATTGGTTTAGAACTGTTCTGTGTTATTTTCTGGGTCCATGTCCTCTCTGCTGGCCAGGCTGGGGGAGCAGACCCGGCCAGGCAGCTGTGAGGAGCTCCCCTCTCCAGGAGGATGGTGTGGGTGCATCTGGGGACTCTGCTCGCTCCCTGCTCTGGACTCTCTCCTGCTGTGACCCCCCTGAGTTGTCTCTGAGCCCATTTGCTCAGTGAGGTTCACTGGACTTGGGATGCTCCTTGTTTTTGGGACTGCTGGCTCCTGCCTGATCCTGAATGGCCAGTCCTGTGCTGGGGATGGGCAGAAAAAGAGGAGAGCTTGTTTGGAGCTCAACAGTAAAAATCACCTTTTCTGTTTATTAGAATGTCACCTACTTTAGAGGAAACTCTACTGTTCCATCAACCTGCCTCCAGCTGTTTGTCTTGGGCTTTGTTCATGCCAGGGGTTAATTTGGCTTTTCCCCCTCCACTAACTCTGCTCTGCCATTACCTTTTCCCATCACCTTCTCCTTCCATCCTGTCCCTCCTGGCATGTCCTGGGTACAGGGCAAGGGCAGGGATCTGCTGGCACATCCCTGATCCTCCCTGGATGATTTTTCCAAGTAATTGCTTTAAACTGAGCTACCCTAATTGGTGTGTGTCCAGGGGGTTTCCTGGGGAAAGCAGAGCTGGGGCTTGAGGTGGCTCATGATGGAGTATCTGAAACTTGTAATTAGTTGAGTTTTCTGCTCAGTATTCAGCTGTAATTTAAAATCTGCCATGAACTGCCTGAGTTGAAAGCCTGGGGGCTTGCAGGGGGCTGGAAGGTTGGGTGGAATGGGGCTTCTCTCCCTGCTTGAGGAAAAAACTGTGGCTCAGCAGGAGATGGGGCCTTAAAGGAACACAAAGAGTTTAAGGAATAAACTCCAGGATTGATGGGGAAGTGGGTGTGACATCTCGGGTTGGAGGATGTGAGCATTGCAGTGTCACCCCAGGAAGAGGATTCCTGTCCCTGGAGCTCCCCTCAGACCAGGTAATGCTGTTTGCTCATGATCATGGGGCACCAGGGGGTGCAGGGACCCCGTTTTTGGGTGGTTTTACCCTGTTTTGGGTGGGGAGCTGTGCATGAGGCTCTTGCAGCCCCCTCACCCCCTTGGTCCTTGCAGCAGCTCAGGGGATCAGAAGGATTTCACAGTGCCAGGGCCTCTCCAGGGAGCACTTTCCAAAGGAGTCTCGTGGTCTCAGATTAAAATGAGTTTTTATTGGAGATCAGCCAGTTTCAAGGAGTGTAGGATTTATTGGAGTGGGTGCTGGCTGCTGGCCACCTGCTGCTACCTTGCCATCCTGCTCTCTTCTTGCTTTCTTGTTTGGTTTAGGATTTTCCCCCCCCTTCTCTTGACTTGTCTCTCTTTCACCTAAATATGATGGATGGGTCTCTCCCATGTTGCAATCGTGATTTTTTTTTTTGTCTCTTTATTGTTCCCTTTTTGAAGGAGCAGCTGCAGGAAGCTGGGTAAGGCAGGTGTGAGCTTGTAATCCCAGACTGGTTTGAGGTGGAAGGGACCTTAAAACTCATCCAGTTCTACCCCCTGCCATGGGCAGGGACACCTTCCCCTGCCCCAGGGTGCTCCAAGCTCCAACCAGCCTGGCCTTGGGCACTGCCAGGGCTCCAGGGGCAGCCACAGCTGCTCTGGCAATTCCAGCCCAGCCCCTGCCCACCCTGCCAGGGAACAATTCCCAATTGCCAAGATCCCATCCAGCCCTGCCCTCTGGCACTGGGAGCCATTCCCTGGCTCCTGTCCCTCCATCCTTGTCCCCAGTCCCTCTGCAGCTCTCCTCTTTTGGTACTGAAAGAGGCTCTAAGGTCCCTCACTCAAAATATTAAACCAACATATTTGTGGGTGTTTTTTTCCCCTCAATTGTGCTTTTTCCTAGATTTTCCTTCCAAATTCACTGACATGAGGAAACCCCTTGTGCATAGGAGCTTCTCAGTGCATGGAACTGCTGTGTCCCTGCACAACCCAATCCCTGTGCTGGGGGGACTGAGTTGTTGTCCCCACCCTGAAGAGCTCTGATTTCTCCCCATCCAAGGAGCTGCTCCTTCAGCTCTCAGCTCCAGCACTGCTTCCCAATCAGCTCTGGCTGCAATCCATAAAACCCTTGAACAAGGAAGCCTGATGGTTTGCTCCCCTGGGGATAGCTGCAGTTTGTCCAAGGACCCTGTGGTGGTGGGAGGTCAGCCCTTGGTGCTGGGGCTGCTGTGGCAGACGCTCAGCACAGAATGGGGAGTGAGTGGTTCCCTGGTTCCCGTGCTGGCTGTGACACAGAGCAGGATCCGGCTCACGTCAGCTTTGTGTTCCAGCGGGAATTCCTGGAGGCAGATGCTGCAGAGCTCAGACCTGCTCCCCTGGCACCTCTTGTCTGGCACTGCCGCCCTCTCCCTGTCATCCTGCCTGCCTTTCCTGCCTTCTAATAGCTCTTGGAAGTTGTTTTTTTTTTTTTTAATTTATTTTTATCTCTCAGTGATTTTGTAGGAGGAAAAACGTATTGAGACAGGGAAGTGGGGGCAATGAGTTCTTCCCTCTGCTTCTTTCAGGGCTGTTTGGGTTTTTCCTGGAGGGATGCAGTGGCAGGCAGAACCCTTGGGATGGGCAGCATGATGGGAAGAGCTGCCCCTTCCCACGGGCAATCAGGGCTTCAGCTGGCCCTGGGCACTGCCAGGGATCCAGGGGCAGCCATGGCTGCTCTGGGCACCTGTGCCAGAGCCTGCCCACCCTCACAGGGAACAATCCCTTCCCAATATCCCATCCAACCCTGCCCTCTGGCAGTTTGAAGTACCTCTGCTTTTCTTATGTTTATAAAAGAAACCCAACCTACACCTTGGGCTTCAGGCTAATGTCAGATATTTACAGCAGAGGAGGATAAAATTAGCACAAAAGCGAGTGGTTGGAACCTGCTTTTTCCAATGCTGCAACACCAGGAAGAAAATTAGGAGGGGAAAATAGTGTGTGTGGGAAGCCCTGCCTGATGAGGGATGCTCAGGTGCATCACTGCTCCCAGGTGACCTTATGGGCATTCTCTGTCTTTTAAAATAACTCATCAGTGGTTTAATTTTAGTCTTGGCCTCTTTATTTTGGTCCTACGGCTTTTTGTTTGTAAAGGGAGGGCAGAGGAAGGGTCTGTGTTTGTTAACAAGAGCCCATTCATTAATGAGGTGGCTTTTGGGAGATGTCCCCTGGCATGGGGTGGGTCAATGGTCTCTCTCCACTCTGCTGTCGCCTGGACCAAATGGGGCTGATCTCATTAGAGCAGAAGTAATTTTGCTGGGGGAAATGAGAAGAGAAAAAAGAGAAGCATGGACATAGTGCCTTCCCCTCGGTGGGTGAAACGAGCTGTGCTGGACTCTGAGGAAATAAATTGTCATCGTTTTATTTCACCCTGAGTAGCCACCCCAAGGGGCTGGCAGGGCCAGGCAGCCACACAGGTCAGTGGTGTGGGGAAATTTCCCTTTCAGGGATTTCTCTCCCTTGCCCCAGCTCCCGTCCCTGAAGGGTGCACTGGGAGATGCATCTGGTTCTGTGTCACCCCAGCTGGTGCTGTGTCCTCCTGGGTGCTTTGGGGTCCCCCCAGGTGCAGGTCCCAAACTCTGGGGCAGTAGATGGGCCTCCCTTGTGATCCCAAATGCTGCATGGGCATGGATGGGTGCCCCCTTCCAATCCCAAGTGTTGTAGGGTGGGTGCCCCCTACAATTCCCCTTCACCTTCCTTTGGCTTCTCTTGGAGCTGCTCAGTGAGAGTCGAGGGGAGGAAAGCGCCTGAGCTTAAATTAATTGGTAATAAAGCACTGACTGTCAGGAAACAATGGTAGGCTTGAATAAATGGCCCAGCTTTGTTACTTACAGCTTCTGCTGGTATTAAAATGGAGATTAATAATCCCCTTGCCTTTGGTGAGGGGGAGGATTTGGTGTGGCAGCTTCTCATCCATCCTGTATGGGATGTCCCCATGGCTGTGATGGACATCTCTGGGAGCTGCCACGAGGGGCTGGGACTGCTGCATCCCCCTCCTGCCTCCAGACTGCCTGGCTTGGAGCGTGCAGGGCAGGGAATGATGCTGCCTTAGGGATCCCCTTTGGGATTGTCATCCTGCCTGCCCTCTAAGTAGGGCTTCAAGGCTGTGCTGGTTTTGCTGCTGGTGATGTTGGGTGGTGGGAGGTGGGATCCCAGCAGCTGCTGCTGGTGGTGGGGCAGCTCTGGGAGTGACATCCCAGGCACCCCTGAGAGCTGGGATGCTGCTGCTGCTCCTTAAACCAAGGAGGATTTCCCTCTGCGAGTGCCTGCTGAGCACAGTTGAAATGTGGTGACAACTGGTAAATGATGCGAGGAGCTGGGAATGGAGGGGAACAGCTGGGGCCCGGCTGGGGGTGGGACTGGTGCAGCCAAAGCTGTGAGAGTTAAGGGAGGGCAACATCGGAGCCTTTCCTGACCCCGGGGCCCTGGGGAGGTGCAGCTCTGATCCTCCCCTCCTCATCCCGCAGTCGGGTCCCACTGCAGTGTCCTGCTGCTGCCCAGGGGATGTCTGCTCCTCACTCCATGCCAAGTCCCTCTGGTCCTGCCCATCCTCACTGACTGCCATGGACCAGTGCCCTGGGGCACATGGGCATCTTTGTGGTCCCATATCCTCCACCTTCTCGATTCCCTGCTGGCAAAGCTCAGGAGAAGTGGAACAGAGAGATTAGAATCATAGAATCTCCTTAGTTGGGAGGGACCCACAGGGATCATCCAGTCCAACCCTGGCCCTGCCCAGACCTCCCAATAACCCCATCCTGGGCATTCCTACAGCACTGTCCAAAGGCTCCTGGAGCTCTGGTAGCCTCGGGGCCGTGCCCATTCCCTGGGCAGCCTGGGCAGTGCCAGCACCCTTTGGGGGAAGAACCTTGCTCTGAGCTGCCCTGGCCCAACCCCAGCTGTGCCCTGGCTGCTGTCCCTGTCCCAGAGCAGAGATGGGAGCTGCCCCTCGGGAGGAGCTGCAGATCCCTGAGCTCTGCCCTGCTCCAGCTGGACACTCCAAGAGCCCTCAGGCACCCCCTGTATGGCCCCTCCAGACCCTTCACCATCCTTACTGTTAACTCCACTCTCTCCCCCTTCTCCCCACTGCTGCAGGCTCCTACCTGATGGTGAACTCCTCTCAGCACACCCCGGGCCAGAAAGCTCACCTGCTTTTCCAGGCACTGAGTGAGAATGACACGCACTGCCTTCAGTTCAGCTACTTCATGTTCAGCCGGGACGGGCACAGCCCCGGCACGCTCAGCGCCTACGTCTGGGTCACCGGGGGCCTGCTGGGCAGCGCCGTGTGGAACGCCTCGGGCTCGCACGGCCGCCAGTGGCACCAGGCAGAGCTGGCAGTCAGCCTCTTCTGGCCCAGCGAGTACCAGGTGAGGCCCAGCAGCCCCCCGGCCCCATTGCGGCTCCCCAGCCATGGCTGACCCCTGTTTGGTGCCGCAGGTGCTCTTCGAGGCTGTGGTTTCCAGTGAGCGCAGGGGATACCTGGGCCTGGATGACATTTTGCTCCTGAATTATCCATGCTGTGAGTGCTGTGGGATGGGACCTGAGGGGGGGCTGGGCTGGGCAGCAGGGCTTGGAGCTGGTGTCCATTGGGATGGTCCTGGGGAGAGTGGAGGGCCTAATGCCAGGGGGCAGCCTGTGGCACCTGGGTGTCCTGATGTTACCTGGACTGGTGGACCTCCATCTCCTGGGTGCCTCTAAGGCCCCTTTTTGCGTCTCCATCCCTATCCCCACCAGCTGCAACATTGCTTTTAGTTTTTATAAGACTTTGGAAAAGCACAGATTGAACGCAAGGCTCGAGTGTCCCCATCAGGAGGGGCCACCCGGGCTGGTGGGGGTCCAAAATCCCAGACTGTCCCAACACATTGGCTCTTGGGGTCACATCCTATTTCTTCCAGGCTGGGCAGGAGACTTGCCCCCTCTATCATCCCATACCCTGCATCTGGCACCAGCACTGCAGGGTGCTGGAGAGAAAGGCTCATCCCTCCCTGGGCTGGTTCTGTGGGGACAGGAACACAGGCCTCACTTGGAGCCAGGCTCTGAGGGTGGGCATCAGGCCTGTCCAGAGCTTGGCTCAGCTGTGACATCCTGGGTGGGTTTTTGGGTGGGGAGGGATTTTTGTGGCAGTGCTGCTGTGGGTCTCCTTGGACCTCAGGTCCTTCCTCACCTCTTGCTTTGTCCCTCGGCAGCGAAAGCGCCTCATTTCTCCCGCCTGGGTGATGTGGAGGTGAACGCGGGTCAGAACGCCACCTTCCAGTGCGTGGCTGCTGGCAAGGCTGCCGAGGCCGAGCGCTTCCTCATGCAGGTGAGGAATGGTGGTGGTGAAACGGCCCCAGCCAGCCCCACACATGGCTTTCCTGTGGGACAAAACCCCGCTGGACACGGCGGGAGAAGGGCCATCCCCCTGCATTTGAGCAGACATCATGTGGGGACACCCCGGTGGCTCTGGAGGTGCCCCTGTGCCCCCTGTGACGCCATGCGTGTCCCGTGGGCAGAGGCAGAGCGGCGAGGTGGTCCCTGCCGCCTCGGTGAAGCACATCAGCCACCGGCGCTTCCTGGCCACGTTCCAGCTGGAGGCCGTATCCAAGGCGGAGCAGGACCTGTACCGCTGCGTCACCCAGTCCGCCCGCGGCGCCGGCGTCTCCAACTTCGCCGAGCTCATCGTCAAAGGTGGGTGAGCTGCCCTTGTCCCCTGTGCTGTGGAGAGCCGCTCCTGCTTTGCTGTGTGCAGAGATAGGTGGGATGCCTGGAGCACTGGGATTGCAGTTTCTCACTGTAGAAGAGTTGCTAAACACAGACTGTGCAGCATAAAACCAGAAACTCCTTTCCTGGTGGCCTTAGATAATTTATTTTTGATTGCAGTAGGTGGGAATTAATTAATTATGGTGAAACTGTGCGGCACCATGCTGGGCTGTGTGACTTATGAAGACAATTAAGGTTTGATCACATGAAACCCTATTGCAGCTCTTGAAGCCTTCTGAAAGTGATGGAGGGCACAGGCACAGACTGAAGTTTGAAGACTGGATGGTGTTGTCCTGTACTTGGGTGACTCCCATGTCCTCTGGGTGGGGAATCCGAATTTGTTCTGTGCTCTGCAGGACGAGTCCCAGAATGGTTTGGGTTGGAAGAGACCTTAAAGCTCATCCTGTGCCACCCCCTGCCATGGGCAGGGACACCTTCCACTCAACCAGGTTGTTCAGAGCCTGGCCTTGGACACTTCCAGGGATGGGGCAGCCGCAGCTTCTCTGGGCAGCCAGTGCCAGGGCTTCCTCACCCTCACAGGGAAGAATCTTCCCCTAATATCTAATCTAAACCTATTCTCTGTCAGTGTGAGGCCATTTTCCCTTGTCCTATCACTACATGCTCTTGTAAAAAGTCCCTCTCCATCTCTTTTGTAGCCCCTTTCCGATACTGGAAGGCCACAGTTAGGTCACCCCAAAAGTTCCCTTCTCCAGCCTGAGTGTGGTGGGTTGGTGTGGGAAGAGACACTGGAAATGTATTGACTGCAGCCTGTAAACAATAAAATAAAACCATGGTACTTGTGGTTGTGCCAGCACTGGCCTGGCTCTGGGGATGCTCCAGCTGCCCCTTCTGTGCTCTCTTGCAGAGCCCCCCACCCCCATTGCCCCCCCCCAGCTGCTCCGGGCCGGCTCCACCTACCTCATCATCCAGCTCAACACCAACTCCATCATCGGGGACGGCCCCATCGTGCGCAAGGAGATCGAGTACCGCATGACCTCGGGGCCCTGGTCCGAGGTCCACGCTGTCAACATGCAGACCTACAAGCTCTGGCACCTGGACCCTGACACGGAGTACGAGATCAGCGTCCTGCTCACCCGGCCCGGCGAGGGGGGCACGGGCAAACCGGGGCCGCCCCTCATCAGCCGCACCAAGTGCGCAGGTGGGCCCCACGGCGTCCCTGGCACGGCTCTCCTGGCACCCCAGCCCTCCTCCTTCCTGTGCTGAGGAGAGGAGCTAGCCCAAGGCACCTGTGTGTGTGCTGTTGGCAGAGGTGCCCCCTCGTTAACTTCTCCCATTCAGTCCAATTAGAGCTGATTAAACTCCCTCCCACCAATGGCACTTGGTCCCTCTTGTCTCAAGAGCCTGACTTGGCGTGATGGCACCACAAGGGCCCTTGTAGTGCAGGCACCTGTCTGGGCAGCTGGGGCTGCTTGTGGGGCTGGTACCCTGCTTCACCCCCACAGGGAAGGATGAGCCTGGGGCAGCTGCATGGTTAGTGGCTGAGAGATGTCCCCAGCAGTGTCCCCAGCCCTCTGCAGGGCAGCAGCATTCTATGCTGGGGTGGTCCCAGTTTTGCAGTCAGAGTTGCTCTCTGCTCTCATCTCTTTTGTCCCTATGGACAAAAGGGTTTTCCCTGATAAGACACACAAATCCATGAGAAGTTTGCCTCCTCGCTCACCTCTCCCTGTCTCTGTTCCCCACAGAGCCCATGCGAGCCCCCAAAGGCCTGGCTTTCTCTGAAATCCAGTCCAGACAGCTGACGTTGCAGTGGGAGCCGCTGGGCTACAACCTGACCCGCTGCCACACGTACACCATGTCCCTGTGCTACCGCTACTTCGTGGGCAGTGGCCACAACCAGACCTTCCAGGAGTGTGTGAAGATGGAGCACAACGCCAACCGCTACACCATCAAAAATCTGCTGCCCTACAAGAACATCCACGTCAAGCTCATCCTCTCCAACCCTGAGGGGCGCAAGGAGGGCAAGGAGGTGATATTCCAGACAGATGAGGATGGTGAGTCTGCTCGGGGAGATATGTCATCCCCAAAATTGGAACTCTGTAGCTGGTGAGCTGCAGGGTTTTTCCTGTGGCATGGTGTGCATCCCTGGCTCCTGCCCTATGGGCATGATGGGAATATCTCCTGAGCCAAGGAGGAGGTGAAAAGGATCTTGCAGCCCCAGAGGTGTGCAACAGGAGGTGAGAGAAAGGGGCACTGATGGTGTCTGGGGAAGGGAGATGCCAGGGGCCTGGGAGGCTCAGGGGTTGGATGGGGGTGTCACTGTGGACACACTGCCCTCATGCTTGGAGTGGAATTTTATCCCTGGCTGGTCCAATGGAGGGTGTGGGAGTTGGCTCATACCCAGCTTCTCTCAGCACAAGTTGTCCTCACTCACCCGTTCTTGGGAACCAAAGCCTGGCAGCCATAATAACAGCAATTAAAACAATTAATGCTTTGCACTCAGGTAACATCGTTTATCTGCTTGGTTTCTGATTGATTGGGCACTGCTGCATTTCTGGGAAAGTGCTGTTCACCAGGGCAGGTGCAGCTTTTCTTGGCTTCCCTGGTGCTCTTCCCTGGTGAAGTTTGCTTTCAGGTGGGTTTGGGTTTGTGCAGAGAGCTCTGCAGTGATCAGGCCCCAATTTCTGGCAGCAGCTTTGCTGCTGTTTCCCCTGTTCTGGCTGCGCCATGTTCTGGGTTCCCTGTCACCTGAGTGGGCAGACATCCTTGATGGATGCTCCAGCATTGCTCCAGGACTTCTTGGTTTTGGAATCTCTTGCTCTGATGAGCCCTTCCCTGAGGACCTGCTCAGGCTGAGGCTGCTGGAGAGGTCTCCCAGGTCTGGCTCCACCTGCCCGTCACCCTGTCTGCAGCTTGCCATCAGCAGTGCCTGAGTCACTCTGGGCTCTGGAGATCCAAGGGATGTGGCAGGAGCTACAGGACAGAGCTGGCTCTGTGTCCAGTGCCACCCATCAGTGACAGGCCACATCCAGAGCTGGCCTCTGCCACTGCTGAGTGTGGCTGGAGCATCCCTGGCTCTCATGGAAGAGACATCTGTTAAGCAAGAACGGAATTAATCTCCAAAGTACTTTTTAACATTAAAAAAATCATCAATTAAAGGGAAGGAGCTGGTAATTGCAAATGATTGAGCTGCCTCCAGAGCCCTGGAGGACCCCTGAGGAGAAGCCTGCCATGGAATTCCCCTGCACAGGACTTGCCGTTACCTGTGCAAAGCTCACTCCTGTCTCCCAGGCTGGAAATCAAAACCTTAAGAGCTGGAGAGGAGCTGAAAGCACCTCCAGGTCCTTTTTTGTCTTCAAGGCCTAAATGTAGCACCTTCCTCTGTACACTTTCCACATCCCCAGCCCTCAGCCTGCCCCAGCAGGGGCACCCTGCTCTGCCCTGCCAGTGCTTTATTTTCCAGCTATAATTGCTCCAGTTGTTCTCACTGGGCTGTGACTGCTCCAGCTGTTTGCTTATGGAATATTAATACAGGAGCTCCAGATGTCTTTTTGCTATACTATAATCACTCCAGCTGCTTTTTCCTGTGCCTCAATTAACTGGGGCTGCTGGCTTCCCCCTTGGATTGAACTTGAGGCTGTGTATACACTCAGTCTGACGGCGATGGATCTGTGGATATTCTACGGATGTGTGGCAAATACTCCTCATGTGTCTGGCCCAGCCTGCCTGGGAGGATGATGAGGATTTGAGCTCCTAGAACTGCAGGATGAACAGCTGCCCCTGCAAGTAAACCAAGGTGCTGAAAGCTTATTAATGATAGGGCTCAGAATCCTATCATTAAAAAATGATAGATTTAACTGTGGTTTATTCTGGCACAAGGCCAGTTTTGGCAGCAGCATCCCCTGGGGCTGCTGTTGGTAGGCTGCAAAGATGCAGCCTCCCCATCCTGAGTGGTAAACCCTGGTTTGGGGCTGGAAAATCCAAGTAACTGGGCCAGACCAAGGCTGTTGTTTACAGCATCCTTCTTGGACTCCAGGCAGAGCTGTGCTGTGGGCAGGACACTGAGGGAAGTGTGCTGCATCTTTTCCAGCTGGTGTTTCAGTGCCCCCCTGGATCCAGGTGACCCACAGCTGAGACTTCATTCTATGTGTGCATGAAATGATGAAACTCAATCCCAGGGACCTGTGGAAATACCTCTGCAATGTGATGGTGCTGCAGGGAGCCACTTCTCCTGGAAGCAGGCAGGGTGCATGTGATGGAAGCCAGGATAAATATATATAATTCCATAAATAAATATATGCGTGCAAATATGGATAGCAGAGGGGTATGTGCACACCTGGGAGCTGTTGTGTGCATCCTCTGCCTCTCTCAACCTGGGATGGAAGCACGATACCTCTACTTGAATATGTAAATATGTGTGTGTATACATATATATACATATATATGTGTGTATATATATATATATATATGAATATATAGGTATTAAAATATTAAGACAATGTATAAATTATCATAGAGACAATAACAATGATACAATATATAATAATAGAAAATAAGATGTAATTGTCTATATATAATAATAGAAAATAACATATAATTATATATAGTGTAGGTTCTGTATATTAAAACCCAATCTCTGTAGGTACACACTTTACTGCCCTACAGGTTTCCGTAATTCTTCCCGAATTTAATAAGTGCCTGAGTACATGTGTAGGACACAGTGCCTCTGATTAAATTAACTTGTAAATCAGGTGGAAACGGTGCGTTTGCACGGTGGGAAGCTCGGGAGGTGATCCCTCTCTCCCAGTCCCGTAATTACACCCGAACAAAAGCTGTGAAAAAAGCCAATCAGAGAGAAGAGCTGCTGTCCCCTGCAAGGTTTGGGAGGGGGGGATGCTACTGGTGCCTTCCCAAGCTGTTGCCTTTCCTTGCTGACCGCCTCGGGTGGAGGAATCCATCCTGAAGGAGCGGATATTGATCCCGGCGCCACTGATTGCTGTCAGTGATTACAGTTATTATTGTGGTGGTGTTAATTAGAGGGGAGGCTGGGCCAGTCAGGCCCGTCTGCATGTGAGGATGCTGCTGCTTGCTGGCGGTGTCTCCACAGGATGCTAATGGCTCCGGGGGGGAATTGGGTTTGTGGGGAAAAAGGGAATTTATTTCTTTTTCTCATGCTGGAAAGCTTAGGCACCCTGTGCTGCTGCTGGTGCCTGGGCTGAGGTGCTGAAACTTGTGGGGTTTGTGCTGGTGTGGGAACCTTCCCCTCCCATGCCAAAGTGTCACCAGTGGGTCCAGGTGCATCAATGCCTTGGGTGTCTCCCTGGGGAGCCACCAGTCCTGTCTGGTGGCACATGCTGCAGGTGGGTGACATGGCACAGGGAGTGCGGTGGCTCGGTCACAGGGCACAACTGCCACAGTCACCCAGAGGGGTTTCCTGGAGGATTTCTTCTTACAGACTGGTTTCTAGCTGCATCCAAGCACATCTTTCCTTCCCCAGTGCCTGGCGGCATTGCCTCCGAGTCGCTCACCTTCACCCCGCTGGAGGACATGATATTCCTGAAGTGGGAGGAACCAGTGGAGCCCAATGGCCTCATCACGCAGTACGAGGTACATCCTGGCTGGTGTGGCACCTGGTACATGGGGACACGGGAGGGTCCTGTTGAGGGGTGTGTTGGAGGGGTCTGGGACAACCTCTGCTCTTGGCCATGAGGATTAGAGGCAGCTGCTGCTGCTCCTGAGCCCTTTGGCTTTTCCAGTGAACCTCTGCTTTATTTCATCTCAAAAAGTCCCTGGCTGCCTCCAGGGTGCCCCGTGACCACCTCCTCCTCTGAATTCATTATTTTCATCCCTTCTGCACCTGAATCTGGGTGATGTGCCCTGTCATTGTTTTAATCTCGTCTCCCATGGGTGATGTTGTGCCCTGTCTCTGCAGATCAGCTACCAGAGCATCGAGTCCTCAGACCCCGCGGTGAACGTGCCGGGCCCGCGGCGCACGGTGTCCAAGCTGCGCAACGAGACCTACCACGTGTTCTCCAACCTGCACCCCGGCACCACCTACCTGTTCTCGGTGCGCGCCCGCACCGGCAAGGGCTTTGGCCAGACAGCGCTCACCGAGATCACCACCAACATCTCTGGTGGGTTCCCCTCTCATTCCTGCTGCTGAGGCGTCTCCTCCACTCAGGTGTCCTACGGTGCTGTGCAGCCCCTGGCTCGCTCCTGTGCTGTTGGTGACTGGCAGTGTTTTGGTGGCTGGATGCTGCCATAGAAAGATGCCCTTGGTGGTGGCAGCTGTGCTGTGAGCCCATGGGCAGCCCCCAGACTGGTGGGTACCTGTCTGGGGAGCCTGGCCAGCCCAGTGCTGGTGGCTGGTGCTGTCTGAGCCCTCAGTGTATGAGCGAGGGATTAATTGGGCTTTGTTAATAAGCTCTGCAGTACTCGGGGCTCTTGGCTCATGTCCATGGCGTCACATTAACTGCAGCAGATGGGCTGAACTGAGTGTGAATGAGGGTACTGGGGCAAAGCAACTCAAGCTGGGTCCCAGTGGCTGGCAGTGATGGTTTGGGGACCACAAGGTTATGGCAGGTATGAGGGGTGTCCCCCACCTTGCTCTGGGGGTGCTGCTGGGCTGGCTCAGGTGTGCTTCTGCCGTGGGGTGGGGGAAGCTCACACCGTGCCAGTGATTCTGAGTGGGGCTGTTCTTGGGCACATCTCAAGACTGGAGCATTTGGGTGCTGCTGAGGTTGGATCCCATTCTTGGTTTCTTCCCCTCTGCTAGACTGGTGTTGGTGCCCTCACTTGTGCACACCCAGGGGTCATCTCTCAACTCTTGTTCAAGACATGGAGAGGTTTATTACTTTAGTTGCAATAATTCATTTGACACCACTGGGTGATGCCTTGCCCTGGGAAAAACTGCTTATGCCTCAGTTTCCCCCTAAGCCAGGGGAGCCCCAGGACTCACCCCAGCTCCTGTTGCAGCTCCCACCTTCGACTACGGGGACATGCCATCGCCGCTGAGCGAGTCAGAGAGCACCATCACGGTGCTGCTGCGGCCGGCGCAGGGCAGAGGGGCTCCCATCAGGTAGGTCGGGGCTGCAGGAGGGTGAGACCCCAAAATGGGGTGATACAGCAGGGTCCAAGGATGGGGCAGGATTGTTGTTCCCAGAACTAACCCGTGCCTGCCCTCACAGCACCTATCAGGTCATTGTGGAGGAGGAGCGGCCCAGGAAGCTGAAGCGGGAGCTGGGGGGGCAGGAATGCTTCCCGGTGCCGCTCACCTTTGACGATGCCGTGTCCCGTGGCTCTGTGCACTACTTCGGGGCAGAGCTGCCCGCCAGCAGCCTCACCGAGGCCAAGCCCTTCACCGTGGGGGACAACCAGACCTACAGTGGCTACTGGAACCCACCCCTGGAGCCCAAGAAGGCCTATCTCATCTACTTCCAGGCCATGAGCAACCTCAAAGGGGTGAGTAGCCCTGACACCCTGCTCCAGCCAGGGGCTGGACCAGGTAAGGGCAGGCTGGGGTCTGGGGGTTGGTAAAATTGGGACTACTTTTAGATTGCCCTCCGCCGGATCACCTCTGGGTTTACCACTGTTGTCCTGCCAGGGCAGTTGGTGCTCCAGGCCACCCTTATGGCATGTTGAGATGATGGGTGGGTGTCCTGCTCCACCAACCCTGGTAGTGCCTGTCCCCATCCCCATGCCAATGCTGGGTGTGGAGTAGTCTGATTTCCCCCACCCACTGCAGTACCAGCCAGGACACCAACAAGCACCAGTGCAGGGGAGCCCCTATTCCTGGGGCTGCCCCTGGTTTGGAGAAGGACTTTGGGCAGCCAGAGCTGTGTGTCACTGCTGGGACCCAGTGCTGGCAGGACAGCCAGTCCCAGCTCCAGAGAGCTCCTGGAGCTCCCGGGCTGCCCTTCCCTCCCTGCTGCTGCCAGTTCCCTCTGTGGAGCTGCACCCCTGCACCCCCCGGGCTGATTCCTCCACGTCATCGGCTGGACCACTGAGACCCTGTGGGGACCCTTCTCGGCATCACCTGCTCCAGCAGCTCCTGTCAGACCCGCGGGAGCATCCTCATCCTGCACATCTCTGTCCTGCTGGAAAGTGGAAAGTGGTTACTGAGTGCTTTCTTTGCTCTGGGATCGTTCACACCTCACTGCTTCGTTGTAATTGGAGCTGAGAGGGACAGGGAGGGTTCTGGCTCTGGCGCCCTCAGCACTGCTGGATGATTACTGGTGGCTGATGCTGTGTTACATATTTCTTGCTGGAGGGTAGTGGATTTATCCCAGCGGCCATCAGATGTTGGAAAAACGCTGGATCATAGCTGGGGTTTTCCATGGGTTTTGTGCCAGATGAAGCAAGAAGCAGAAGGAAAAGCTGGAGATCCCAAGGAGAGCAGTGCTGTAGCTGGCCCTGCCCTGTGCATGTGGCATGGGCAGATCTTGGGCCGAAAGTGGATGGAGCACATTGGTGCCTGGTGTCTTGAGAGACTGGAGGATGCTTGGAGAGGACAATACTGCCAACATGGTGCTTTTTATTTTGCAACAGAAGTTGGATGCATGGAAAAATGGAATATTTTAGTTGAACTAATCCCTAAATTGCAAATGCTAAAACTATTGGAGACTTAAGCTGGAACCTCATGGCAACCTAGGCAGCAGATGCAGAGCTGGAGTTTGAAACTTTGACTGATGGAAGACAAGCCCATGAAGCTCTGGATGACAACCTGGGCGTGTTTCAGCTGTACCTGGTGGCACATTGGTGACTTGTGGCTTGGCTGCGTCTGCTGGGTTCTCCATGCTCTTGAGCTTCACCATCCCCTCTGTGCCAGGAGCTGTGGCTCCAGCTAAACCTGGGAATGCTGGGGACAGACCATTCAGCAGCATCTCTTGGGCTGTGGGTTCCCAGGAGCTCTTTGGGTGCTGCAGCACAAATCACCCATGGACTCCCTCAATTTGGGAGCCAAGGCACCAATGGACCAGCCCTGTGCCCACCCGGCCTCGCTTGGGTGAGAGTGGGGAGCGGAGCGGCTGGGAAGCTCATCCAGCACTGACTCCCCCTTTTTACCTCCATAGGAAACTCGGCTGAACTGTGTCCGGATCGCTCGCAAAGGTGAGCCCTCCCTTTGCCCTGAGCCCCCGAGGCTGCAGCTCCAGCCCCATGGCGGCTCCGGTGGTCAGGGCTCTGCCGTGGGCTGGGACCAGCACTGGCGGTGGTTGGGCTGCATGTGATGGGTTATTTATTCCAGCTCCACCCCACACCCTTCTGTTTCCCACTCTCTTTGGAATCTGAGGTTTTTTCCCTTGGTTGAATTTTCCTTTGTAATGCTGTTACCATGGTGGAGGTGGGGCTGGAATGGTGGTGCTGGATGCTGAATCCAGGGATGGATGATCTTATGTGGGATGTGATGAAAGGTGCACAAAGGGAGTGTCCCACCCCACTGGAACTGAGAGAGGGACTTGTCCATGGTCATAGTGTGGCACTGCAGAGCCCTGTAGCATCTTGGTTGAATAACTTGTGTTCATGGAGAAATAAGCATCCCATGGGATGAATCTCAGTGTTTTCATGCCTGATGTTGCCAATCTCCCTGGAGTGGAATGTGGTGGCTGCTCACAGCACCCTCATCCACCCACCCCTCCTGCCTGTCCCTGTCCCCTGGCAGCTGCCTGCAAAGAGAGCAAGCGTCCCCTGGAGGTGTCCCAGCACTCGGAGGAGATGGGCCTGATCCTGGGGATCTGTGCTGGAGGGCTCATCATCCTGATTATCCTGCTGGGAGCCATCATCGTTGCCATAAGGAAAGGGTAAGGAGACCTGGGCTGGCAGCTGGTGCTTTATTTGTCCCTCCCTCCCTCCCTCCCTCCCTCAGCTCAGCTCTTCTCCACCACCCCAGCACGAACTGGAGTTACTGGTGAGGATTCAGCTGCTCTGGGCAGCCTCCAGACACTCCCTTGAGCTGAGTCTCCATGTGCCTGTGCATCTCACTGGGCACAGAGCAGCAAAGTCCTGGGGATGTCCCTACTCCCTCTGCAGCTTTGTTCCACTGTCCCTCTCCCCTATATTTTTTGGTTTTTTGCTTCTTTTCCTGCTGGTTCTTGGCTTTGTGCTGTTCTGGTGATCCTGCATGGATGGAAATGCTTCCGGCCCATGCCCGAGCTCTGCCCCGGCGCTGAGCCCAGCTGTCCCCATCCCACCAGCTCTTCCCTGCCAACAGCAGCCATGGGATGTTGTTGAGATGAGATGTTGCCTCTGGGCTTCCCTGCTGCCTTGGCCAGGCCAGCAGGAGCACGTCCAGCATGGATGTGGCCGTTGTGGGGGGCTGGCACAGGGGGAGCTCATGGGTGGGAGGGAGGAGGGTGAGGGCTTTTGGGGACACTCATCCCCAGGAGCGCTGGGCACGCGGCCGCTGCTGTGCACGTGGCTGCAACGCCCTGGAACAGTGGAAAAATGGAAAAGTGGCTGCTTCTGTGCAGGGCTCGAGGCAGCACCGGGCCGGGGGGGCTCTCAGAGCTGGGATAAAGGACAGCAATTAAACACGGGGCTTGGGAGGATGGAGCAAAGTATATGAACAGCCAGAGGGAGAGAAAAACAGCAGGGCAGAGCCTCGGCCCCTTAAATCTGCAAAGCTCTTTATGGCTGCGTGTACCCTGGAAGGATCCTCGTGGATTTACATCGCTGGAAGAGCAGGGCTGTAGCATCCCTGCACGCTTTGAGGTGCGGGGCTGGCTCACAGCTTCGTTGGCTCCTTCCCTGATGGAGCAGATGCCAGCAGCGCTGATGTGTTTTGGGGAGTGATGCTGTGGGTGGGAAGCTGTGAGTGTGGCTGCTGCATTCCCATTGCCAGTGCTGCCAGGCAGGATGAGGAGGAGCAGCTCTCCTTCAGCAGCCCAGGATGAACCTGTTGAAGGATAAACTAGAGCCACAAATTAGATCTGGTGCTGAGAAGCCTGAATTTGGGGCTGTTGGGAAGCTGGGATGAGCTCATGAATCTCCACAGTGCATTGCTGTTGGAGAAACACTGATGTGGTGGAATGGAAACGCAGCCTTGGAATATGTTCGTCTCTGGTAAATGGTGCTCTGGGAATGTGACATCCCAAGGCCATCTCCCCCTCTGGGCCCCTAACCAACAGCCTGGGGGGAATCCCTACATTTGGGACATCTGACACAATCTTCTTAAAAATTATGGCTGAGCCCCTTGGACAAGGGTGCTGTGGACACCCACCACAAGTGTGGTCCCACTGAGAGCCGGTGCTTGTGCTCTCCTGCCAGGATGCCAGCTCCTGCCTGGAGTAAATAACCTGTGGGTGCCACAGGGGAGTCTGATTCCTTTATGGTGCATTGAATTTTCTGGCAGCTGACTTGCCCTGTAACCTCCCTTCCCAATTGAGGAGAAAAGCTGCTTATGCAATTTCTGCTGTTCTCTTTGCACGCTTGCCAGGAGGAACTACTATTCTTACTCCTATTACCCGTAAGTAATTGTCATTCTCCTGCTTTACCCTCCTCCTGGCCACCCCCCTCACCCTGCTGCTCCAACAACTCCTTATCTCTGCCAAGTGCATTTTAAGGGTCTCTTTGGATCAGGGAAAATAATGCTGCTGAGCTTGTTAGAGACAGAAGGCAGTGTAAAGGGGAAGGGTCAGGTACTCTGAGTTGAATTCTGGATTTTAGCAGTGCCTTGCAGTGTTCCAGCCCCATCACAATGCTGACATGGGCTCAGATCTCCTGTTCATCCTTCTGGCTTAATCACTGCTCTGGCTTTGGAGCCTGATGCTGCCTCTCAAAAACGTTCATTCAGATTTCTTTAAATGACTTGAATTTGGGGTGGGAGGTTCTGTCCCAGTGAGAACTCCTGGGATTTCCCAGCAGTTTCATTAGGTGCCTAAAGAGACCCTGCATGGGGGAAAAAGCCTCTGCAGTGAGTGCTGAGCACAGGTTTACTCAGGGGGGATCCAGCCCATCCCTTGAGATGGATTTGGCCCCTGACATGGCTTTAAAATCACAGAATGATTTGGCTTGGAAGGGGCTTAAAGCTCATCTCATTCCAACCCTTGCCATGGGCAGGGACACCTTCCAATAGACAAGGGAGTCGTGTCTGGGGAACTGGGGCTGGGGAGGGCTGGGGCATGTCCATGTGATGGCTGGAGACAGCATTTGACTGCACAAGGAGCACACCTGGCTGTCCAAGGGCAGGGGACAGGAGGGGACATTGAGGTTGAGCAGCTGCAGTTGCTGCAGCCAGTGAGGGATGCTGCATGTGTGCCTGTGACTGGCCTGGGACAGCAGAGAACCAAAGCGTGATGACCACACTGCTGCGAATAATCCATCCTGCTCCTGGAATAATCCGAGCCCAAGTGCTTTGGGGGGACCTCCGAGCACCTGATGGTGAGTCCTGCTCACTTCTGCTCCTCCCCACTGCAGGAAACCTGTGAATATGACCAAAGCCACCATAAACTACCGACACGAGAAGACACACATGATGAGTGCCATCGACAGGAGCTTCACTGACCAGAGCACCCTGCAGGAGGACGAGCGCCTGGGGCTGTCCTTCATGGACACCCAGGGCTATGGGAACAGAGGTGAGCCTGGGAGCCTGGCATGCCCTGCTCTCCTTTACAACTCTGGAAATAGAGGTGAGGCTGAAAGCCTGGCATTCCCTGTTCTCCTTTACAACTCTGGAAACAGAGGTGAGGCTGAGAGCCTGGCATCCCCTGTTCTCCTTTATAACTCTGCAAACAGAGGTGAGGCTGAGAGCCTGGCATTGCCTGTTCTCCCTCCACAACTCTGCAAACAGAGGTGAGGTTGGTAACTGGCATCCCCCTGCTCCCATCCCACAACTGTGGCAAGCAAGGTAGGGATGGAGACCCTGGCATCCCCCTGCTTCCTTCCAGCCACAAAGGTGCCCAATAACCCCAAAATATCACAGAAACAGCCTGCCAGAGCTCAAGGAGTGTTTGGACCACGCTCTGAGGCACAGGGGGGTGAGGTTGTTGGAGTGTCTGTGCAGGACCAGGAGTTGGACTCAGGGGTCTCTGTGGGTCCCTTTCAACTCAGGATATTCTGTGATTCTCTTGAAGGCTTGGTGTTACATCTGGTTTAGACTGTGTGTGGCTTGGCAGGTTCTTCCTTGCCCTGTGTAAATCTCCAAGGGCATGGATTTCATCTGTGTTGGAACTTTTGCCACCATCCAGGCTGTGCTGAAGGGGAAGCTCTTGTGTGGAGCTGCATCTCTATTTTCTCAGGGAGATCTGAGCTTGTGGCTGGGCCAGTTGAAGCCATTTGTGGTTTCAGGATCTGGCTGCAGCCCCCTGGAACTGGGTGAATCCCACCTCCTGGTTTATGCTGAGGTTGGAAACTTCTCCCCAGCCTTCCCCACACAGCCTGGGCATTGAAGGGTTAAAGAGCCTCTGCTCTCCTATCAGAGGGAGACTGATAACTTCACACCCACCGGAGGATGTGTCTCCATGCTGATTTAGTTGTAAAATAACTCTTTGGCTGCCCCAGTTTCAGCCATATGCTAATAACATCTGTTACAGTAGCTGCAAGATGCCGCCTGCACGCGGGACTGATGCCTTCCTGCCATTGTCTCATGGATCATTAAAGCCCAGAGGGCAAACTTTCCTCCTCTTTACACATCGAGCTAGGTTGGGTGTGTTTTTCCTTTGGTCGCTGTCCTTGAAACTCTCAAAGGCTGGTGGGGCTGAGCTGGGGAGCTTGGGCTGCCTGCCATGGCTGGGAGAGTCTCCATTGCCTGTGAACATCCTTAATTAACAAAGGGAAATTAATGACTTGGTGACTGCTTGGTGGCTGTATCCCCCACCCACTTCAGTTTCTGTGTATTTAAAAGAAAGTCACTGATCCTCATGGAAACCCCAGTGGTTCCTCAGCGTGTGGCTGTGGCAGCACCTTGCAAATGCCAGCAATTAATTAATTAATTCCTCTTTAATCCCAGCAGCTGATGAGCCCATTGGTCAGGTCATGGGGTGTGGAGGCACTCTCCTGGGTTGTCCTGTTGGTTCCCACTGACAGAGGACAGGGTGAAATGGGATATTGGGAAGGAATTTTTCCCTGTGAGGGTGGGCAGGCCCTGGCACAGGGTGCCCAGAGCAGCTGGGGCTGCCCCTGGATCCCTGGCAGTGCCCAAGGCCACGTTGGACAGGGCTTGGAGCAGCCTGGGACAGTGGAAGGTGTCCCTGCCCACAGCAGGGGTGGCACTGGAGGGGCTTTAAGGTCCCTTCCAACCCAAACCATTCCCTGGATCCCTGCCTGCCCTTCTCTGGGAGTAGCTCAGAGCATCAGGTTTTGTGCAAACCCAAATTTTGGGATCTGGTGTGGGAACTTGCCCTGACAAACACAGGTGAGGTCTTAGCCTGGCTCTGCTGGTAATGACACAGCAAAGGCATAAACCAGGTAAATACTGCACAGGCTCTCCATCAAAGCAGCAAGCTCCGTTTGTGGCAGCGTGAGGAATCCAGTGCTGGTCTCTAGCAGTGAGGGAAATGAACTGTTAAGCTGTGCTGGAGACTTTGGCAAGGTAATTTTTCAACTTAGAATCTTGTGTGAATATTTGGGCATGGAGCTCTCGCTTGTCTGCATGGGAGCTCATTGTTCCAGCTGAGGGGAAATGAGGTTATTATCCCCTTATGGCCTTGCCCACTGATTTCTGATTGACCTGCTGAGGTCCTAAAAGGCTGTGCTGGGCATTTTTTGGCTTTGTGGTGTAGGAGGAGCTGTAGAGAGCACGAGGGGGTGGGAGTGGGATTGCGGGCCGGGCCCCTGGTGGTCCATTGGGAGGGCCTGCAGCAGCCGCATGTCCCAGTGTGTGTTCCCCAGCCTCTGTGGCTGTGAGGCGGTGATGGGGCTGCAGCCCGGGGTTTTGCTGCCCTGCTAGCCCCCGGTTGTCCCTCCCCGTGCAGGTGACCAGCGCAGCAGCGTGGTGAACGAGTCCAGCAGCCTGCTGGGGGGCTCCCCGCGGCGGCAGTGCGGCCGCAAGGGCTCCCCGTACCACACGGGACAGCTGCACCCGGCCGTGCGCGTGGCCGACCTCCTGCAGCACATCAACCAGATGAAAACGGCCGAGGGCTACGGCTTCAAGCAGGAGTATGAGGTGGGGACAGCTTGTGGCAGCCTCTCAGGGGAGCAGGGGGTGGGATGGATGGGGGGACACGGGTGGAATCTGTGTGTGAGGAGATGGTGCTTTGGGTCTGGAGCTCTGGATGGGAGCTGGAGCTCACAGCTCTGGGCTGTCATTGTCAGCATGGGGGCTGTCCCTGAGGCAGGGTTGAATGGCTGGTGCTGGCAGCTCTGGGTTATTTCTCAGCTTGAGCAGGTCCCTGAGATGAGCCAAACCAGCCCTGTCTGCAGTGCACCATCCCAGCTCTCCTGCGTGGGCCAGGGCTGCTCCTTCCTTTCCCTTTCCTTTCCCTGGGCATCACTGTGTCACCTTCTGCTCTCCAGCACACTTGGCCTGTGATAAGCATGGCCATAGTCTAAGAACAAGCAAATCCTCCACAATCTGGCAGCTCCAAGACCATGAGGAAAGACACTGGGGAGAAGATGCTGTGGAGGGTGATGTCAGGGGAAGGGATTTCTTTCCCAAGAGTTGTTGGTGGCATCATGTCCATCCCAGCTGGCCAGGTCAGAGCACTTGTAACAGAGCAGGTTATTTCACAAGTCTCTGCCTCAACATAGCCAGCAGGGTCATTTCCTGACTCCTCAGTGTCCCACAGGTCTGGAGATTGAAATTTCCCAGTGAAATTACTGTTTAATTCTCAGCTGTTTCAGGAGCAGGAGCTCTCTCTCCCCTTTCACGCATTGGACAAACCAGGGCTTGTGATAATCATTAGTGCTCCTTGAAAAGCTGCTGTATGTTCTTGGAACTAGTCATTTGAAAGCACTCAGATATTATGGGAGGGGAGAAAACATGTAATTTCCTTCCACTTTCCACCTCTTACGCCAATCTATGAATGTCACTGTTATTACACACAAACCTGTTCTGTGCTGGGGAGAGAAAGGAACTGGGGAGGTTTAGGAATAAAAAAAACTACAACCAACCCTTGAAAAAAAAAAAAAACAACCCAGGCAGTCTGTAATTTGCTGGAAAATGGGCTGTTTTGTGGATGTAAAAGGAGTGTGTAGCTGGCAGAGTGTGCTGTGGAAGTGGAGACGAGGCTGCCCGAACCAGGTGTTGGGGTGGAGGGACCACCCTGTCTGTCCTGCTCCCCAGGGAGCTTGTGGGGCTGGGGGAACCCCAGAGTCCTGCCCTGAGCTTGAGATGTCCATCCTTTCCTTACAGAGTTTCTTTGAAGGCTGGGATGCTTCAAAGAAGAAAGACAAGACCAAAGGGAGACAGGATCACGTGTCCACATGTGAGTGCCCTTAGCAAAGGCTTGGACACCCCAAACAGCTTCAGAAGCCCATGTTTTGCAGATTCCTGGGCCAGAGGGATTGCCCAGGGTGGCCTGGTGGGTGAGCAGGCACTGATGGTTCCTGTCCCCTTTCCCCAGATGACCGTCACCGCGTGAAGCTGCACCCGCTGCTGGGGGACCCCAACTCCGACTACATCAATGCCAACTACATCGACGTAAGTGGGGACAGAGCCTGTGTCCCTGGGGCTCTGGCTGCAACACGAGCTTCCTGTGGCCTCTCAGGGTTTGTCCAGCAGCATTTGGAGGACTTTGGACAGCCCAGGGTGGGCTGGTCAGTGCATCATGAAGGACCTGCCTGATTTATTTGTGTTCATCAGCTGTTTCTGCTTGTTGCATCTCTCTCTGCTCTGTTCTGTCCCTCCTTCTCATTCCCTCTCTGCTTTTCTATCCTCTTCCCCCTCACCTGCTCATGTGGCCGTGGATCTCCCTCTCCCTGGGTGGGGGATGCAGAGGTTGAGAGGAACAAGGGACCATCAGGGGCTCACACTGGAGTACCCCTCGATCCTGCTGGTGTGTGTGAATCTGGGTAGAGCCCAGCCCTAGTGTCCTCTGAGAGCAGTGTCCCCAAGAGCGATGTCCCCTGCCACCTCCAGTGATGCTGAGACCAGAGCAGCTGCAGGAAGGCTCCAGCATCTCCTGGAAGCAGCAAATAACACTTTTCCCTCCTGCCCAGAGGGTGTCTGTCATGTGGCCTGATCCCAGTGCCCAAGCAGTGTCCCTCAGCCTGTCCCTGCTCCCTGTGTCTTTTCTGCCCTGTCTCTCCATGGCCTGCTCCAGGGCAGGTGCTCTAACCCCTCTCTGCTCTGTGCCTCACTAATATCTCTGATCTTTTTCTCTCAAACCTGTGTCCCAATGGGATCGTTAAGATTCGGATTAACCGAGAAGTAAGTAGATTCTTCCCTCTCTCCTCCCTTCTCTGCTCCTATCTCCTGCCAGGCCTCACCCTGGGCAGTGTGGTCTAAATACCATCAGGGAGAGGCAGGCTGGGAAGATGTGTCCATAAACCTGGGAATGTCCAGGGAATGGGAAAGCAAGGTCTGTGTGGCACTGGGGCATGGAAAGCAGGGCCCGCGTGCTCTGAGAAGGGGTTGAATTTGACCAACAGAAGTCCCCTGTGAAAAGACCCACAGGGGATGGAGAAGCCACTGTCACCTCCATGCGTGTGGTGTGGTTTAACTCTGCTGGACCTGTGGTCAGGGCGTGGGACATTGTGTTCACAGTGCCTCTGGCAGTGGCCTGGCTGGAATGTGCTCTTTGGCATGTTCTTGTTAAGGGCTGAGCAGCTGGGATGAAGGAAGGGAGTGGTGTCTCAGCACCAAGTGGCTGCTGTGCAATGGGGGGATCACTAATGGAGCTCTCCTGGCAGCAATGGCGTGGCAGCAGGAGCTGGAGTGAAGTTCATGGATGCCTCAAGGTGCTGATAAAGGATTTTGCAGACCAGGGGTGTGGGTTGGGCATTACATGAACCTCTTGTGGGATGCAGGAAATGCACCATCCCAGGACAGGGTGTACTGAGTGTGGGATGGCTGCTGAACCTCCTCCTCCTTCTGTGGTGGACTTGCAGGACCTAGCCCATTGGCTGTGGGGAATTTCTACCAGTTGGGTGTCTGGGAAGTGTCTAAGGGTCTGTGCCCCAGCTTGGGAATGATGTCTCTGCTTCCCTTGCAGGGCTACCACAGGTCCAACCACTTCATAGCCACACAAGGTGAGTCATGCCCTGCCCTCTCAGCCAGTGGTTCCTCACCTCCTGTGTAGCAGCCAGGTTTTATTCCTGGTGGAATTAAACCTTACAGGAGCAGGAAAGGAAGGGAGGGGGCCAATTTGGAGCTGCTCCCACCCCTCCTGCTTCCCCTTGGCACTGCACAGCCCTGGGGAAAAGGGCTCTGAGATGCTGTGGAGCTGTTTGTGCCTCAGAGGTAGGAGAGAGGATTGGGCCACTACCAGGGCTGGCTTCTGCTGGTGGTGCCCATCCATCCGTGGGGCCTTTTGCTGTGTCCCCCAGGGCCCAAGCAGGAGATGGTGTACGACTTCTGGCGCATGGTGTGGCAGGAGCACTGCTCCAGCATCGTGATGATCACCAAGCTGGTGGAGGTGGGCCGGGTAAGCATCCCTGTTCCCATCCCAGGCCATGCCATCCCATCCCTGCTGGAAGCCACCTCTGCAGAGCCTAGCCCCCATCCTGTGCTCTCCTTGCAGGTGAAATGCTCCAAGTACTGGCCGGATGACTCTGAGATGTACGGGGACATCAAGATCACGCTGGTGGAGTCCGAGACGTTGGCTGAGTATGCTGTGCGCACCTTCGCCCTGGAGAGGGTACGGCCCTGCCCTGCCTGGGGACAGACCCCTCGGGCACTTCTCATACTCCATAGCTTGGCATTTACCAGTATCCTGTTTATTTAACCCAATATGGGGTCACCGGTCGCTCCTTCCTTTGCCTTTTCCCTGGCTCTGCACCCTGTGCCGGGCGAGCAGCTCAGTCCCACCTTCATTTGGACAGTGAGTGAGTGTTTAATTTTCGTGTGAGTGTGGTGGGGGTGAAGGATGTGCTCCTCTCCTCTGGGCTGGAGGTGATGTAGCCATCAGTCTGCAGCATGGTAACTGGAGATGGAGCCGGTGCAATTTACCCATTAATCTACAGCAATGTCAAATTACTGTCTGGTTATAGGGCAGGGACACCTGAGGCTGCTGCCACCTCCTCCTTTTTCTCCTTGGTGGTTTTTAACCCTCTTGGAGCCAAGAGGAGAGAGCTGTGGGGCTGCCCAAGCATGTGACTGCTGTGTGGTCCATCTGCCTGGATCCTGAGCTGGTAAATCATGGATTCCTGAGGAAATCAAGTGTTTGAGTGACCTTGCCCTCTCACCCTTCCCTTGCAGCGAGGTTACTCGGCCCGGCACGAGGTGAAGCAGTTCCACTTCATGTCGTGGCCTGAGCACGGTGTCCCCTACCACGCCACAGGGCTGCTGGCCTTCATCCGCAGGGTGAAGGCGTCCACGCCGCCCGACGCCGGCCCCGTCGTCATCCACTGCAGGTGGGGACAGGCACGGGTGGCAGGGGGGTGGAGGGGACCTGAAAGCTCATTCTCCCACCATGGACTGGGACACCTCCCACTAGTTCAGATTTCTCCAAGCCCTGTCCAGCCTGGCCTTGGTGTCCCTCTGCGATGGCATCTGTGAAATGTCACCACTGGGCTGGTGGCAGCAGGGGCTGGTGCAGGGGGACAAGCCGGGAGCAGCAGCACTGTTTTGGGGCTCCTCCAGCCTGTTCCTGGTGACAGCTCTGTTGCAGTGGGCAAAGGTGAAACGGCAATGGGCAGCTTGACCACTGCTGATGGTCAGGACGTGGGAGTCTGGCTGAAGGGAGAGGCAGGAGGCAGCAGGACAGCCCCGTTGCAGGGTTACCCACAGGGCTGTCCCTGCAGGGCTCAGTCACTGGGATGCCAGAGCTGGGAGGACATGAGTGACACATCTGAGCAGCTTTGGTGGCTCTCTGTGCCCTGAGCAGGCATTCCCACATGATGGGCTAATGGCTTTTCCTCCTCTGGGCAAACCAGGAGGAGCTGATGAGTGGGAGGGATTTTTTTATTTTTTATTTGATTTCTCCCTGTCAACTGCCTCATCAGCGTTCATTCACCAGCCGGTGTGATTAGTGCCCGTAGCCTGTAATCACTGATAATCATGACGAGTGATTCATCAGCCCCAGAAATTAGTATTTCACTGGAAAAGACTCTGTAGGAAAGGAACAGGGGGGTGGCTCTGTTCCTGGCACATCACTGGGGAGGGTGTGTCAGGGCACAGAAGGTCTTTGACTGTGACTCCAGCCATGCCAGGGCCTGGGACATCACCACTGCTCTGGGTACCCTGCTGGGCTTAGCCTTGCCCTGAAGGTCTCACCTGGTGCATCCAGAGCTGCTCATGCCAGGGGAGCCTCCCTGCTTCTCCCAGGGCTCAGAGCTGAGCCCTCCTTGGTGCTTTTGGGCTGCCATCCCAGGGGACTCTTGGCACTTGGATGGTTTAGTTGTTGGTTTTGTTGCAAAAACCATGTGTTCTGCAGCCTTAAATGAAAAATGAGCTTTAGGCATGGGTGCCCACCTGACCTTCACGCACTCTTGGGGCTGAAGCAGGGGTGTTTGGGCAGGTTAAAGGCTAAACCAGGCTCTGGAGGTGTGTGAGGTCCTGGCAGCCCTGCGGGGCTGCCGGGTACAGGATCTGTGTGTTGAGCCCTCGCCCACAGAGGCCTTGCTCGGTGCCCAGCCCTTTCAGGCTGTGTGTGGATGCCAGCACAGACTGGGAATGTGTTTGCTGTTTCTCCCTCCATCCCCAGTGCTGGCACGGGCAGGACTGGCTGTTACATCGTGCTGGATGTGATGTTGGACATGGCTGAGTGCGAGGGCGTCGTGGACATCTACAACTGCGTGAAGACCCTCTGCTCACGGAGGATCAACATGATCCAGACAGAGGTGAGCGGCCTTGGGGACAGCTGGGGACACTTGGGGCCACTGTCACCAGCCAGCTCTGGAGGCTCAGCCCTGTCCCCTCCCCTCCCCAAAGGAGCAGTACATCTTCATCCACGATGCCATCCTGGAGGCCTGTCTGTGTGGGGAGACCAGCATCCCTGCCAGCGAGTTCAAGCCCACCTACAAGGAGATGGTGAGGATAGAGCCGCAGAGCAATTCCTCGCAGCTGCGGGAGGAGTTCCAGGTGAGCTCCCCAAATCTCTGCACCTGCCCCCTGTCCTCACCCTCCCGGAGCCCAGCCCTGCTGGCACGAGGCAGGGCTTTGAGGGGACCTGTGTGCCTGCAGACCCTGAACTCGGTGACGCCGCACCTGGATGTGGAGGAGTGCAGCATCGCGCTGCTGCCCCGCAACCGCGAGCGCAACCGCAGCATGGACGTGCTGCCGCCTGACCGATGCCTTCCCTTCCTCATCTCCGTGGATGGAGACAGCAACAACTACATCAACGCGGCCTTAACTGACGTGAGTGCTCCCTGGGGAGGGAAGGGGCTGCTTCCTGTGGGCTCAGGCAGCTTTTCACGGCAGAACTTGGTTTGGTTTGGATTTATGGCCTCATTTTGTGCATGGGCAGGAAGGGTCATGGCAGCTGTGTGCAGGGAGGGAAGGGCTGGGATGGTGCAACGGGGTCCTGCACCCCTTCTTTTGTGTAGCAGCGCCCTGCAAGAGCTTTTCTCCTGCTCTCGTGAGCCAGGCACAGAGAGACTTGAGGATTTTGCAGTGACACTGGAGCAGGGGAGGAAGAGGAACCTTTTGGGGAGGTTGGTGGCATTAAAACCCCCATGTGCTGCCAGACCCCCCCGTGATCCTCTTGCCCCTCCTGATGCAACTGAGGGGGCTCTGAACTGCTCCCAGAGCCAGCATGCATCCCCCTGATGCAGTCAGAAAGGACCCTGTGGTGACAAAGCTATCTCTTGTATCTGATGATCACAGAGCCGAGAAGAGGATGCTGCAGGCTCCAAGCCCTCGCTGAGGGATGGGGTCATTCATCAGCAGCCCCACTTCCCTTTCCTTGAAATGCTTTGCATGGGCAGCACAGAGCCCCCCACACCTCAGGCATCTTCCCCAGACCCTCCTGGTCACAGCTGAGCACGGGCACCAAGCTGAGCCTTATGTTTTCCATGCTGTGGGTGATTTATCCTGCTGGATCTCTGTGCAGATCCCATCTCCCTGATTGCTGCTCCCACAGCAAAAGCAGTTTGTAAAGCAGAGTGAGCTGCTGGTGGTGGGGAGTGGCTCTCATGGTGCTGCAGTGGAATGGGAGTTTTGTTTCCAGCTTGCTTGCTGTTTGCATTTCCATTTTATCTTTATGCATCACTGAGCCTCCCTTAATCTCTACTAAAGGGTCAGTGAATGAAATATTTTTTATAGACAGACAAAGCCCTTTCTATGAAATTCTTGCTGAAGAAAAAAAACCTATTTCCCTCTTTGGGTAAAAAAAAAAGTCTCATTCTCTTTAAGTGCCAAAGTGGTTTGCTCAGTCAGTGTGTCCATCTGTAGATCAGCTTGGCCTGTGTCACCCGTCAATGTTGCTGGTGCCAGTGGAGCTGTGCCCTGCTCCACACCCTGCTGTCACTTACACGTGTGCCAAGAGGAGGATGCCAAGGCAAGCCTGGGCAACACATGGTGAAATCTCTTTCCCCTTGCTGCTCTCATGCCCCTCCTTGAAGGTGGAAAGCTCTTGCTGAGTGCTGGGTCTCGCTGCTGCCCATGGACAGGGCCATAGGAATGGTTCAATAAGGTCATTTCTGTGAGCTCAGTCAGGAGGTCCCACAGCAGGCAGAGCACCCCCATGAGCACAGAGCTGAGCTGATTCTGGGTCTGAAGAGCCTTGAGCCAAACTGTGTTAATTTAGGTGTGCCTGATGCAGTGTTGAGCTCAGCTGTCCCTTGGCAAACCAGCAGCAGGATGACCAAGGGGATGTATCTTGTTCAAAGCACAAACCAGAGATACAGAAATTTCCTTCCCTCCCACTTCCTTCTTGCAATCTCTAGTATTGTTGCAGGGAGCCCCTGATGCAGGAATAACGTGCATTGAGTTTATGATTTCAGAAGGCTGAACAAATACTTTATTAAGCTGTACTATACTGTACTACTACTATACTACAGTACTGTGACACTTTCAGACAGTCATGACACAGCTTTGACCTAATTCAATCTAAATCACCATCAATTCAATCAATCTAAACCACCCATCACTAGAGTCCAATTAAGAAATCCCTCTTCAGTAACAATCTCTGTAACACCTTCCACGTGTGCCAAATAACAGGTGCAACAAATAGAGATAAGAGTTGTTTTTCTCTTTCTTTGAGCTTTCTTACTGCTTTCCCCAGGATTCTTCCTGGGATAGTTTTCCTGCTGCTCTCTGTGAAGAGAGCTGTGTCCACACTCTGGGATCTTTTTTGGGGGGGTTTTCTTCCTCCCCAAAAAAAAAAAAAAATTGAGCCCAGGTCAGTGGTTGTCTCTGCTGCTCTCAGTGCCTGGTGGTGGGGTGCTGTGAGTGGGGGTGATGCTGTGGGTGATACTTCCAGTCAGGGCCAGGTGCACAGCTGGAGTCTGGGGTCTTCTGGGAGCCACAGCTACTGCTTGTTCTTTGCTCAAAGGTGGCATCTTTCCCCTAGTTATTTATTCAAAATACTCTTTCCTGTGAAAGCAAAATATATGTGTTTTCATCCTGACCAAGGGCAGGGATCACTTGGATGTCCCCATCACCAGGACATGGTGGAACTGAGGCTGTGCCAGGGAGACCAGCTCTGCTCAGGCATGGAGAAGAGGCTTTTGGTCCCACTCATCTGTTGCACTGATTCTTTGGGGTGTGACAGCAGTGGCTCCAGTGTCACCACCGTGACACTGTCCTTACTGGTGCTTGTCTCTCCTCTCCACAGAGCTACACCAAGAGCGCTGCCTTCATTGTCACCCTGCACCCGCTGCAGAACACCACCACCGACTTCTGGCGGCTGGTGTACGACTATGGCTGCACTTCCATCGTCATGCTCAACCAGCTCAACCAGTCCAACTCTGCCTGGGTGAGTGCTGCTGCCCTGGCACTGCACCATGGGTGGCTTTGTCCTGCTCTGTCCCCATTGCCCTGACAGTGCTGCAGCCCCTTGCCTTGCTCACTCAGAAATTCCTCCTCTGCAAAGGGACACGGGTCTGTATGCAGCACTCAGGATTTGTCCCCTGTAAGCACAGGGCTGGCCAGTTGGAGCCAGAGAGGTGTTGAGCAGTAGCCCAGCCTGGGTGCATGGTAATGGTGTTGCACTACCATTGTGTTGGCATAGTGTTGGCATTGGTGTAGGGTTGGCTTTGAGTTGGTGTTGCATTGATGTTGACGTTGCATTGCTGTTGAGAGTTGGCGTTGGCATTAAATTGGCATTGGCATTCCATTGGTGCTGAAGTTGCATTGGTGGTGACGTTGCATTGGTGTTGAAGTTGCATTGCTGTTCCATTGGTCTTGATGTTGCATTGGTGGTGACCTTGCATTGGTGTTGCATTGGTGTTAATGTTGCATTGCTAATGGTGTTGCATTGGTCTTGTGTTGGTGTTGATGTTGCCTTGGCTTTGAGTTGGTGTTGTGTTCCATTGGTGTTGACATTGCTCCAACAGGTCCATGTTCCCCAAGCTGGAGGCAGTTCTGCAGATGGGGTCTCACCTGAGCAGGGCAGAGGGACAGAATCCCTTCCCTTCCCTCTGCCATTTTTCCTCATTACTCAACCCTGCCTCTCTCTCGCTGTCTGTTCTTCAGGGGTGTCTGGGTTACAATATTTAGCTGGATCATAAATGTTTACTGGTATAAGACCAACAGGTAATAAATCAACCTTTCCAGCAGGCAGCTCTGAAAGGTGACTTTGAGGGTACAGCCCTCACTTGAACTACGCCTTGCCAAGGGAAGTTTTAATATCCAAATTATAGTTCTGAGTCTGGAAGGCTCAGAGATCTCAGAGATTTATAGCTCCTATTAATAACCAATTATTCCTGAGACACGTTTGCCGTGCAGTTGGGCCCAGGCCGTGACTGACCTGCATTGCTAAATGCCCTGTGAAAGTGCGGTGACAAACATCATATATTTTGTGTCGGTGCTGGTTTCCCAGCTGTCACACTGTGAAAACAATCTCACCCATGCTCCAGGGACTGAGCCATCCATCAGTGCCATGATGGACACAGGGAGGGGAGTTGCTCCCCAGAGATGCAGGCTGGGATTGCTTTGGCTTGGTGGGATGTCCTGGCCATGGGATGAGGAGCACTGACATCCCACGGTGCTGTCGCTGCTGGTGGCAGAGTGGCTCCTAAAACCAGCAGGGCTGGAGAGCCAGCTGGGAGCAGCCCAGCCCTGCTCTGTTGTTGTGCAGGCTCAGCTCTGTGCTGGAAGTGGGGCACAGCCCATCCTGCATTCTCTTGGAACAGCAGTGTCCATTCCAGGCTGTGTCAGCTGTTGTGTCTGTGCAGTGTGAGGGGACTGTGTGGGTGCTGGGGCTGGACCTGACCTTTCATCTCTGATCCCCAGTAAGCTGGGAGATCCTACAGCCATTGATGTTCTGAGTGAGAAATGGCATTGTGGTCCAGCACTCCACCCTGGGGCCACCATCCCACCCTGGGGCCACCCCGTGCCAGCAGCCCCCAGGGTCCAGCATCAGCCCTGCCTTCACCGGTGTCTCCTGCTGCCCCTGCCTGTGTCCCAGCACACATTTCAGTCCTGATGAGCTGTGCTTCTCTCCACAGCCCTGCCTGCAGTACTGGCCCGAGCCAGGGCTGCAGCACTACGGCCCCATGGAGGTGGAATACATCTCAGGAGTAGCGGATGAGGACCTCGTGTCCCGACTCTTCCGAGTGCAGAACATCACACGGGTGAGCTGCTTTATATGAGTTACAGAATCCCAGGATGCTTTGGGTTGGAAGGGAACTTGAAAACCGTGTTGTTCCTACCATGGGCAGAGACACCTTCCCCTATCCTAGGTTGCTCCAAGCCCCATCCAGCCTGGCCTTGGACACTTCCAGGGATCCAGGGGCAGCCACAGCTTCCCCGGGCAACCTGTGCCAGGGCTTGACAACTCTCTTGGTGGAAAAATTTTCCCCTAATACCCCATCTAAACTTCCCATGATGCAGCTTGAGGCTGTCTTCTCTTTTTTAATCACTTGTTACCTCGGAGAAGAGGTTGACCCCACCTGGCTTCAACATTTCAGGGAGTTGTTGAGAGCTGTATGATCTTTCCTGACTGCTGGGGTCTCCAGCCTAACTCTCCTCCTGCAGAGGAGACAGCCCCAGCTCTCCTCCTGCCAGAGAGGAACTTGTAAAATTGCCATTGCTCCATCCAGCCTTTCTGAAGTTCGCAGCTCCTTGAAAGGTGTTAGAAAACTGCTGGAAGACCTTTCTCCTCCTGCCTGAAGCTCCATCTCTGCCCTGCCACACACATAGCACAGGATGGACACTCCCCACATGGGCACGGCAGCTCCCCTGGTATCAGCAGAGCCCTTTCCCTGCAGGATGAGAAGATCCACGCAGATTTTTGCCCTTTGTCAGTGTTGCATGGCTGGTTAAGCTTGTCTTGAAAGAAGAGAAATGCAGGGCAGCAGGGAAAGGATGCAGAGCTGTACACAGAAAGAAGCAGCTGATTTACCTATAAATGCCAGCTGGGAGGAGATGGCATCCCTGGTGTCTTTAAACTCCTAATGGTTGCCAAGAGGCTGAGGCGAGTGCCCCAGTGAAGGTCACTGGGCAGATGGGAATTAGGGAGCTTGGAAGGGAATGTGTGGCTTGGCTGACAGCCCGGCTGGGAAGGTGCTTGGGCAGGGTGGCTGGGGCCAGAGGAGATAAATCCTGATTATCTGAACTCTTAACACAAAGAGGGTTTTGGTTCACGAGAGAGCATCTGGCATTTCCTGGGTGTCAGCACAAAATCCTACACCAAATATGCTCAGCTCTCAGGTGGTAGGATATACTCTGGGCTAAATTAAAATGCAGCGTGATGGAAATCTCTGGATCGACGAGGAGATTCCTCCAGGGAGCAGATTGCTGGAGCAGGGCTGGGAAATGCATGGAGCGACTTTGTGCCAAGCCTTGCTGGAATGGAGATGGGCACTGGGGGTGTCACAAGTGCTCCAGAGCTTTCACCCCACTTAAAGCAGATCCTAAAACTTTCCTTCCCAGGCTGTCAAAGGAGTTTTAGTCTGTTTTAACTCCATTTATTTGTTTCCTCTTCCTCCTCTGCTTTCCTGGCTTCCAGCTGGAAGAAAAAACTGGAGCCTAGGGTGGTCAGGCTATCACATGCACATCACCAGCTCATATCAGAGCTCCCAGAAGGGTTCAGGAAAGCTCCCAAAAAGGTTCAGAAAAGCCCCTTTTTGAAATGTGCAGGTTAGAGTGGGCACCAAATGCCCCCAACTCTTAGTCCCCAGGAATACCAACTCCCCCACAGGAACACCTGGTCCTGCTGGTAGAGAAGGTCTGGTGCTCATCCCACTCAGCAGCCACCTGAAACTGCGTGGATGGAGCCTCCAGAGCTGAGTGTCCCCCATCTGTGCCTGACCCCCTATCTGGCCCTGACCCTCCTTTCTCCTCCACATGCTCCCCATACGTGAGCTGTGAGCCCCAGGTTGTGTTTGGGGGGCTGACCGTGGTCTCATCCCGTCCCGTACTTGGGATGCTCTGAGTGCTCCTGAGCAGGAGTCCCACATCTGCCCAGTCAGAGCCTGCTGAGTTCCATGCATGTAATCCTCCTCCTGGATCCAGCTAACCAGATTAGCTTTCCAAACTAACCAGATTACCAGGTATTAAGCTCCCGCCTCTGTGGCAGCCTCTCAGCAGCTTCCTGGTTTACAGCAAGCACAATAGAACCACATGCCATGGATCTTGGGCATGCAAAGGTGAAGGTGTGATGGAGAAGCCTCGAGGAGGCTCAGGGGTCTGGGAGCAGGTTTTGGGAGATACAGAGAGATCCCAAGATGCTGTGAGGTCGAATAAACCATGACAATGCAGTTCTCCTGGGTGGGATGGGATGGGGAATGAGTGTGAGCTGGAGGTCAGGGCTGAACAAACCATGTTAAAGCAGCAGGAAAGGGTTTTCCTCTCTGCCTCTACTGTCCATGTGTGGCTTTCCCTCCATCAAATATCTCCTGCCCTCTGTCAGATCTCCAGTGGAGGCAAATGAGGGCAGCTCATGGGTTGCAGCTGATGAGTTTTATTTTTCCAGTTGCAGGAGGGGCACCTGATGGTCCGGCATTTCCAGTACCTGCGCTGGTCAGCCTATCGAGACACCCCAGACTCCAAGAAGTCCTTCCTGCACCTCCTGGCCCAGGTGGAGAGGTGGCAGAAGGAAAGTGGTGATGGCAGGACTGTGGTGCACTGCTTGTGAGTGTCAGCTGGGGAAGAGCAGGCTCTGCCCAGGGAGAGATGCCTCCAGATTCCATGTCCACAACACTGTCTGGAGATCCTCACAAAGCCCTCACTGGGGTGACTTTGTCCCCAGATGGGGCTGCCTCTGCCACAACATGTGTTTTCGGTCGCTTCCTCCATGAGGTGGATGCTCAGCAGGGGTGACATCAACCTGCCCTTTGTGCTGGTCACCCACCCTTGGCAGAGCTCCCAGCCCTGTCCCCACATCCTCTGTGTGTAACAGGCACCGAAGGGACGTGGCAGGAGCTGTGCCACTCCCACCACTTGCTGCTCATTGTGGGGGGGACAGAGAACCATGCAGTGATTTCCTGGGAAGGGACCTTAAAGCTCATCTTGTTCCAGTGGGAGGGACACCTCAGGTTGCTCCAAGCCCTGTCCACCCCTGTCCTCCCAGTGGGATTGGCTCATGAACACTGTGTGTGTTCCCCTCAGATAGGACCCAGCACCTTCACAGATGGGAAAAGACAGCAGTGAAGCCTTTAATCAAAAACTAATTACAGCCTTGTCCATCTTCATTAGCTGAAGGATAATTTGAGAACATGCTTTATAAAGCTCTGGCATAGTGTTCTCTCTTCCTCTCCCATGTTCCCATTGCTGTCAGGCTGCAGGTGTGGTGGTGTGGGAGCAGGGGTTCAGCCCAGGATCTGGGGAGGTTCCCAGTGCCCTGTGTGGATTGTGGGTCAGTTCCTCCAGGCAGCAGCAGCACCGTGTCACCAGCCCAGGGTCACCCTGTGCAGGGCAGGAGGGACATGGCAGCTTCCCCAAGGTTACAAGGAGCTGATCTGTGGCAGGGCTGGGACCTGAGCCCAAATGTCCAAGATCCAGCCTTGGTAATCCAAAAGGGTGTTTTCATGCTCTTGTGAGGGTTGGAGGGCAGGATCATTGTCCTGCCACCCCATGGGGCAGGCTCAGGTCCCCTGGTACAGGTACAGCCCCTGCTCTGGGACATCCCCTGGGATGCAGGGTCGGATAGAGAAAAGGAGACTGGAAGGGAGCAGGAAGGTGCTCTGATGCCACCTGATTGTCACCCCTGACACGTGTGTTTGTCCCACCAGGAATGGAGGTGGCCGGAGTGGCACCTTCTGTGCCTCCACCATGATCCTGGAGATGATCAAGTGTCACAACATGGCAGATGTTTTCTTTGCTGCCAAGACCCTCCGCAACTACAAACCAAATATGGTGGAGACCTTGGTAAGCACCACACCCTCCCTTTCCACCCTGGCTTCTGGTCTTGGCACAGAGGAGAGCTGCTGGGGATGCTCACCTCCCAAAATGCCTTTTCCACCCCAAATCCTGATCAGCATCATAGGCATCCCCACGGCAGCACTGTGCTGGGGTGGGCTGGGAAGTGAGGCAGCTCCTCAAAGCAGCCTTGGGCTCGTCTTCATCCTACTGTGCCAGCACAGCCTTGGAGTCAGTGCTGGGATTGTTGGAAATCCTCCCCAAGAGCTGTAAGGCCCAGTCACATTAACCCACAGGATGTAACTGTGGTTCTTTGGAAGGTTTGTGGCATTGGGAGCAGCGCTGGTGTGGAGTGAGAGAAATTCCTGTCAGAAATATGAAAGGGAATGAGCAGCACTTGGAGTGAAATTAATGGGTGCACAAGCTGCTGGGAGCAGCAGTGGAGTGATGTGTCCTGAGGAGGAGGCTGGAGCTGGCAGCAGGTCAGGGCAAAAAGCCCCTGCCCTAATTCAGGCCCTGATGATGGAACAGGGGAGGGAGTGGGTACTTGTCTGTCCCCGTGGTGGAGGGATCCAGGTGCCTCATGATGTTTTAAAAGCAAGTCAGCTGGAAATGTTTACCCTGTTTAGATTATAAAATCCCTAAGTTGCAAAATGAAATGGTTTTGAGGAGGGGATGTGATTTGCATTAGGAATTAAAAGCAGAGAAGAAGGAGAGGGAGGGGAGAGGGGATGGATGCAGATAATGGAAAGATGATGTGACAAGCATGAAGCCACCAGACCCATTGGGCTAAATTGCAAGGGTATTAAGAAAAGGTAACATTTCCCATCAGGACACAAGCCTCCTCCCGCCTCAAATGAACCTGAACTGGCTATTCTGGGAATCTCAATCTCCCAGAGTCACCAGGAGGCTGAATCCATGCCTGATGTAAGGAGCTCAGCCCAGCAGAGAGCACTTCCTGCTGCCTGCACCCCTTCCCCCTGTGTTTGCCCCGGGGGTTATTTTTATATGATGATAAATGGAAACAATCCCTTTCCTTAATCCAAAAAGCATTATGTGCTTTTAATCTGGGCTGCTGCAGCCTCCTTGCTTTGAAGTCCCTCTCCCCCTCTGCCTGCTCCCACCTGGGATCCCGTGGGGGATAACAGGATTTTCGTGCCAGGCTCCAATCCCCATCCTGCGGCCAGGATCTGGAGAGAGGAGCTCTGCCCTCTCCCTCCCTGCTCTCACACCCACCTGATGTCCCAGTGCCTGTAGCAGCACCAAAATCCTGATTTGTTTGGGGTTTTGCTCTCCTGGGATGGGCACTGCCACGGTCAGAGCTCTCCTGAGGATTTTGTGCTGTCAGTTGTCCGAGGGTGGGAGAGCATGGGAACAGGTCATGGGCAGGAGGACAGGGATGGATGAGCCTGCCCTCACAAGCCCCAGTTCAGGGATTTTTGTTTCAAAACCAGGAGTCAGCCACTCTGGGCTTTCCCTTTGTGCAGCTGATGGGGAGTGAAGGGTGGGAGGATGCTGACACCATCCTTGGATGTCTCACGAAAGATGGGAGAAGGAGCCTGGTCCTGCTGGGCAAGAGAATTTATGATAAAGGAATGTCCTGGCAGCCAGGGCAGGGTATCTCCATCCACTCCAACCATGGATATTTGCCTGGGTGCTCTCCCCTTTTCCAGCCTCTGCTGAACTCAGAAACAAAAACTCCTTGATTTCCTACCTAAGGTTTTGTTGTGGACACCTCTGACCCCAGACTCCATTGTTCCCACGTCTCTTCCATCATTTGACTGACACATGTCAGTCACTGAGATGATTAAGTTGCTGAGCCCCCAGTGCTGGTTGTACCTGGGATGGTGAATAAAGGTATTTTCACAATAAGGGGATGTTGCAGTTCTGGTTCCTCCCTTGGGGCAGGTGACGGTGCTGTGTGTCCCCAAAATGCTGTGTTTCAGTGTGTGTGGAGCTGTTGGATCTGGGGCACCATGCCCCTGCCCCAGTGTGGGTGTTGTTTGCCAGGAGTGGAATTTTCCTGGCTGTGGCTTCAGCAGAACGCTCAGGGGGCCCCAGGAGGGTGGCAGGTGTTTCCTAAGGGCTGGTGATCTGTGTTTGTCCTTCCTCCTCACAACTTTGGGAAACAGCTTCCTCCGGATCCTAACACCCTCTCTCCTCTCTCTGAACAGGAGCAGTACCACTTCTGCTACGACATAGCACTGGAATACCTGGAGTCCCTGGAGAGCAGATAGCACCTGGCCACGAGAGGGGCACGAGGGCTCGTGCAGGGCCGTGCCAGCCGCGCTTCCCAGCTGGACACTGTGTCCCTGCTCGGGGAGACAGCCAAGGACCCTCCAGGAAACTTGGGATCCAGGAAACAAAAGGACATGGAGATGTGTTGGCCACTCTCCATCTTCATCTTCCGCTCTCCATCTTCCCTCCCTGCCTGGGTGGATCCCACAGCTCAGCCGGTTCCTTGGAGTCACAGCCTGGCCTTGGTGCTGCTGGGTCTCTGCAGCTGCTGGAGAGGAGGCCAGGGAGGGGAGGAAGAGGAGGCCACGAGGAGCTGAGGCTGTTTCCCATCACAGAAGGATGGACACTGGGAGATGTTGCTCTTTTGTGTGTGGTATTGAAGCTGCTCCTCGAGGAGCCCGGAGGCTGCTGGAGGTTTTCCCTTGGTGGGGCTCACTCTGAGCCAGAACAAAGGTCCCCCAGAAGCTCTGAGTTTCTGCCCCTAGGCACCATGAATTTGATCCTCTGTTAGTTCTGTGAGTTCTGACCCTTTGTGTACCCAGCCCTGGACAGACAGAGATGAGGATGGGGGGCACTGGCCATGCAATGTCCCTCTGCAGGGACTGACCTGGACCCTCCTGGTGCTTTTGCAAAGTGTTGGAGGGGATGGTTCCCCAGCATCTCCACACCTTCCTCTCCATCTGTAGCAGTGAATTCTTCCTGTGATGTCCCACTGACCCATGGGTCTGTTTTTAACCCTGCCGTTGTGCAACACTGCATTTGAAGCAAAATCTTCAAAATTCGGGTCTATTCCAAATACTTCCTGGGTGCCACCCCTGGGCAGTTGCTGGGCCTAGTGGGGCAGGAGGATTGATTTTGGGCTGAGCTGTGCCAAAGCCATGGCTGTGTGTTGGGGCTGGACAGGGGAAGGTCCCCACACTCCTGTGCCACCGGGGCTGGTGGCTGAAGGTACCTAGGGTGTTTTAGCTCCATCCTGCTGCAGGCGGGTGTGAAATGGCACTTTTTCCATCTGATGTTGTGGTAATTCCAGAGACTCTGCTCTCAGCCTGGTTGTAATAAATGGCCTTGGGAAGGTGCATCCCGAGGGATCCAGGTCTGGGAACTGAGGGGAGGCTGGTTCTGTCCTGAGGGCCAGGCTGAGCCCTTCACCATCACTTCTGGGGGTGATGGAGCAGAGCAGGTGAGAAACCCCTCCAGATGCTGGAGTTTTCATGAGGGCAGCCCTGTCCTTCATCCATCTGCCCCCTTCACCCCCACCTGTGTCCCCCCTCCTCCAGCCATGCCTGCCCAGGGCAGGGGCAGCTTCCCTGCCCTGCCTGCCTGGGGCTGCCCAGCCTTGCCCAGGGAATTCTGCCCAGGAATCAGGAAGGCTGCACAGCTGAAATGGCTGGAGGAGCAGACCCAGGAGGTGTTTCCATCCACCTCCCAAGGGTTAAAGAGAGCAGGAAGAGCCATCCCTGCCCTCTCTGCCCTTGGACAATGTGCCACTGCTGTGGTGATGGGGATTTCAGCACCACCCCAGACCCTTGGTTCTGCCACCTCCTCCCTGAGGAATTCACAGTCTGACAATAACTTATGCCAAGGGCTATATGACATCATTCCTTCCTTCTTGCTATCCCTGCTGTCTCATCTGCAGTGTGCCCATTCTGTCTTGTCACCAAAAGGTCTTTTTTGCCCCCAAATGGTCCAGTAAAACCAGTACCTGACTACACCAGTACTCACACTGGGATAAATCTGTGTCCTTTTCCCAGTCCCCATCTCTCCATAGACCTGCCTGTGCTGTTCTAGGGAAGGCGCTGCATGCTGGGTGCAGAAATTGTTTGGTTTTGTATGAAAATGGCTGAGCTGAGCCTCCAAAATCCCTGGGAATGGGATGGGATGCTCTGGGGGCTGTCCAGCAATGCTGCTGCCTAGGCTACATCCTGCCTGTGGTCCAGAGGGAGGGAGCATCCCACAGGGTCTGCAGGTAAAGTATTGCCAGAAAGAGGAAAAGAGGAGGGGTGAAACCCCACTTAGTCCTACAGAGACTGGAGGAGTTGTATATATATTTTAAAATCAAGAGTTTTCCCTTTTTATTTTATTTTGATACCTCCTTGCTTGGTGTCTCTGGGTTTTTAGGGCATCTCTGGTGAAGGGCAGATTTTGAAATCCAAGTGCTATAAAACCCAGCCCATCTCCAACTCCTACTGACATGCTCCTCTGACATGAGGCAAGGACATCTTGTACATAGAAATCTATATATAGAAATCTATATATAAAAATATAAATACTGTTCTTAAGATGGATAATGTTTATTGGTATTACAGATTGGAGTGGTGCTTTTTTTTTAAATAAAAACAAAACAAAAAAAAAAGGAAAAAATTAAAACCCAAGAAAAACACCAAATTGGAACAATTTTGTCTATATGCAGTCAAAGTGATCCTAAAAGCTGGCAGCATCCCAGACTTGGTGCCAAAGGGACTTGGGACCATGAGGCAGCTCCACCATGGACGAGGATGGAGCATTGGGACCGAGGGAGGGACGTGTCTGATGTGGATTGTACCACACACAGCCAGCTGTTGTTAATGTTTTTTTTTATTATTTTGTTATTATATTATTTTTGGCTTTCTTTCCTTTTAAGAAAATTAGTTGCATAAATAAATGTTCCAAATTTGTGATGGCCTCTGGAGTTCTTTCCTGGCTCTGAGCTGGGAGCTGTGATGTGGGGAGCCCTGAGGTGCAGAAAAAGCCTCTCCCTCAGCTCTATCTTTTAAAGGGCATTTTTGGGAATAGATTTGCAGGGCCAGGTTCCTGCAAAGCCCCCATGGCACAGAGGAGATGGGGTTGCCTTGTGCTTCCAGAGCTTTGCTGTTGGTGCCCTCCTGGAGGTCACAGCCACAGCTCCTGCTGGAAGAGGTGGTGTGGAGCAAAAAGAGCACCAGAGCATTTCCCAGCTGGAAAACGAAATCCTGTTGAAAGAAGAGCCTTCAGGAAAAGTTCCTGCATTGTCTTCAGTGATTTATTTATTACGAAGCAGCCTTCAGTTAAATGTGTTGTGATATGAAACACTTCCAGTAACACTTGAGTCTTAATTTAATGGAGACCAAGGAAAAAAAATCTAATTGACTTGTCAGGATTGTTTTTCATCTTTAATTAAGGCTCGTGAAGGAAGCAGTAATTACACTTTACTGATAAATAATAAAAATGGGGATCATGCAAATCAAAACCAAGCCCTGTCCTTGGGAAGGGCCCTGGGTGTGTGGGTGCAGCCCTGGCAGGGTGTCCCTGGGGCTCAGCTCTGTGTCCCCAGGGCTGTCCTGGAGGGCAGGGTGGGCTCAGGCTGCTCTGAAGAGAGAGACAGAGCTGCTCCCAGCAGGAACCGAGAATTGTGGCTGGTTCAGGTAAAAATGGGAGCAGTTCTGTGGGGACAAGGGTGGTGGCCACTGGGTTTGATGGTTCTCTGTGGCCCCAGGAGCTCAGGGGTGCGGGGGGCATCATTGTCCTTCCTCACTTCATTCCTGCATCTTTTGGAAGAGGCATGGACAGCCCAGAGAGCCAACAGGGCCCCAGAGCCAGGACAGGAGCAGAAGTTGAGGTGCTCATCCTGTGGAGATGTCCTGTGGAGATGTCCTTCTGTCCCACCTGGATTCATCAGTGTCCCGGTGAGTGCCTTGTTGGGGGTAGTTGGGGATGGGATGGGATGGGATGGGACCCCTGTCCCTGTTTTGCAGAGCCAGCAGAGCTTGGCATGGGCATGGCTTGAGGCACTCGGGTCCTGCTGCTGCTCTGCCAGGCCTGGATGGATCAGAGCCACTTAAAGGGAGCACTTTGCATGTCAATAACCAATCCAGATACGTGTCCAGTGCCCAACTCTTGGCAATTGCTTGCCAGCTCAATGCCTCCTTTGTGCTGTTATCTGCAGTACACATGCCTGGTAGAGCTGGTAATAATTTCCCTAAGCCAATGTCATGGTATTGTTGGAGGTGATCTGGATATTCTCATTCCATCCACAGGCTCTCTCCCTAATCCTGGCTGATAGACAGCGCTGGAAGTGTTGGGGAGTTCAGCTCCAGCCCAGGGTGTCAGCAGTTGGCACAGAGGTGGCAGGAGGGGACCCCTGTGCCAGCCCTCTCCACCTGCCCCAAGGGGCTGCTGTTCCCAGAGGATGCTCAGCTTTGTCCTGACTGCCCCCACCGTGGCCATCCTGCCCCTGGAGAGCCCCGAAACCTCTGCAGGACACGGGGAATGTTGTCAGGAGGGTGCCCAGAGCTCACCCAGCCCGGTGCAGAGGGCCAGGCCCGAGGCAGTCAGGAAATGGTGGACAAGGATTCCTCTTCCTCTCTTCCTTCAGGAGAAGCCAGACCCTTCCCAGGGAGTTCCCATCCCTGTCCCTCCAAGCAGCTCATGGCACTTCAGCCCTCTAAAGGTTGGGCTTGTTCCTTTTGCTGTGGCATGTTGGAAGCTGCCTCGAGCCGAGGGGCAGGCCAGAGGCAGGGCTGAGGGATGCTGTGTTAACCCTCCTGACTGACCTGGCAGATTAATTCATTAAAATGAAACCAAATTCAACATGCTCATTTATCACCTGGGATGTCCCTGCAAGGCCAAGAGCTGCTGTGGCTCTGGCTGGGCTCATCCTCACCCCATCCTCATCCTCTGACCCTGAACTGCAGAGCCCTGTGGAGCTGCCCACACCTGCCTGGATGGAACGGGACAAACCCAGCCCACTGCTGGCCCTGGGGCTGGAACGGGACAAACCCAG